CAAGACATTTTACTCAAAAATAAAATTTAATATATTAATAAAATCAAGTTAGAAACCACACTAATGTATACATGAGTTTTCCCAAATGTGTTTGGCCAAGTCAACCAGTTTCCATGTTTGTGTCATGCGTCTGTGAGCCCTGTGGGCTGTTCTCATGTTCTACATCTCACTGCTTACAGAAACCACTTGCACCACCCATCTCATACTTTCTGCTCCCACACATTAGCCTAAAAAAGCTTTGATCTTAATGGAAAAAACGGTCCCCTCATCGTTTCCCACTGTAGTCACTGGTATACGATTCCCCAGTGACACTGCAGGTCAGCCCAGTTCAGTTCTCCCTCCATAGCTGCTGCAGGGACTTTCTTTGTTGTGGACTGTCATTAATGCTGAGCTTTCTTTTCCACCACATACAATGATGCATCATTAAGAAAATGCATAACACATTTATGATGTGGTTTGATTATATTCTGATGTAAATTAAATTAACAGTTGGCATGTCCATGTGATTAATTAAAAATCAACATTCTGGTTATTGGATTATACTTGAAATGTACCATTGACGCACTGATTAATTCCAAACTGAGTCATTGGGGAGATAAGCCAAAATTTATTTCCAGTGGTATATTTTACAATCTATAAATGTGCTGTTTGTGTAGAGATAGACAGGATTGTTATCTTGTGAACTAGACAGATCTGCCAAGCTCATGTTTCATTTGCTCTGGCAGATACGTCTGTCCCACCGCCCCCCCTCAATTCAGACAGATTTCCACCTGTCCTGGATTTGGTCAGGCCAATTGTGACTCTGATTGGTTGTAGGTCTGGACCTGTGTCCAGTCTTAGCTTACAAACTAGACCATGCTGATCAAATATGAATCAAGATGATGTTATGTCTCGCTCAGCATTGCTTATTTCTTGCCTGAAATGCTTTCAGAAACACATTTTGATGTACTTTTTTGCTACAATTTGAGAAGGTTTGTGAACAGGCCGCCATTTTTTTTCTGGTTGAAAACAGATTAAGCACCTTGCTCAGCTCACTCAGCACTACGTCACATGTTTTTGTTGCTCTGATTTGTTGTAGGTCTATCTAATTGCGTCGATTTTGGTCTGCACCTGTTGAAAACGCCTCTTGGACATCGAGGTTCCAGACTAATATGCATTTGCGAAATAGCCTGACAATGCCAGGTTAGAGGGTTGTTCATTTTTAACAAAACCCTGCAGACACATACCGTCAGTTGCAGCAGGCTTTGATTTAATTTATTGTTTTTGTTCTTGAGAATTGCTGCCAAGGCGCTCAAATATTTTTACACAACCTCTCAGTATTGACGCATATTGAGAGCATGTGTGCGCACAGAAAGAGATGTTTGTAGGTAGAAGTAAAATAATGAGGGAAGTGATAGGCAGTACTTTCCAGCCGGCTCAGTTTTTTGTTACATTTGCCTTTTTACTGCTACTTTAGTGATACAACCATTTCAGTGCAACACATACACACACATACTTGTGTGTACAGGCGCTTAGAGCAGTGGGGGCGAAGAAAGAGCAGCAAAGGGCAGCCAACTGCATCCTGCTTTCATGTGTTTATGGATGTCTTCTGCTTAAGTCCCTCCTGAAAGTATTAGTGACTGTGTGTGGAGGTGTGCTTGTTGGATTATTACTCTTCCTGCATGTGTACTAGACTTTGTTTGTTTGTGTGGTAATCACTGTGTGCAGTGTGCGTCTGCTTGTGACGTGCTCTTGTTTATCAGCACACACAAGTCGTTTTTGCTGTTTGTGTGATTGAGGGACTGAGTAAGTGCACTTGTTTATTGCGCTCTGGTCCTGTATGGAGGCGTTCCTAATGAGGCTTGAATGTGCCCTGCATGGCTCAGAGCCACGCTTGTTGGCTCAGCGATGGGAGGAGCATTTGAGTTGGAGCAGGAGTAGGGGGGATATAAATGTTTAATCCAAACACCACCCTGTGGTCATTTTCCATTACCAGCAATTTAAGTCATGTTCGAATAGAATAGAATTTAATTGGTAACATGTAATTATTTTTGAGCTCTCTAATACAAAATATTAAAAATGTCAAAGAATAAAATATAATTAAGACAACATAAAGTTCTGTAGACTAAGTCTTGCAGTGCCATTGTAACTAATAAAAACTGATGATCTGAAACATCTCAAATTGCTAAAGCACATCCGGTGTAAATGCCAACACTTGCTTCACTCGGTTGGTTGGTATCATGCGATCTCCCGCTTCACTGGCAGTCTGTCTTTTTTTCTGGTGGATGAGCAATCCCGAGAGAGCTATCACAGGTCAAGCACTGCCCGATAAAAAGCGTTCACAACATCTTCACTTGAATCTAGCCATAGCTGCTTGTCAAGTTGTCAAGTAATGAGAGAGCCAGAAAGATGAGCACATAGAAGGACACCCTACTCCTCATAAAGGAGGTTCAAAGAGGACTGTTTCTATAAATACCCTACTACTGCTAGACTGATGATCCAAAGTTAAGACCGGTACATATTAGAAAGCGTCTGCCAAAATGTTCAGAGTGACAGTGTTGCAAATAAAGTCTAACGATAGTTTGTGCAGATCAAGATATGGATGCACTAAATATAATTAGTATGGGAAATCCTGTAAATATATTACGGGAAACCTTGTTAATACCACAATCTATCTCGCATGACATAGTCTTTGATGTATCATACAGTTTACAGTATGTACAGGATCAATTGCAACACAAGGTGGAAATGTCTGTTATATGTTAGTGTCAAATGTAGGTCAGAGTGTTGGTTAGGGTGATTATGGTACCTCTAACAGAAGTTAAAAACGGTTACAAGTTGTGGGTTTGATAAGTTTCAGAATGAATCATACATAGTCATTTAAGTGATAGTCATGCATCCTTACCGGTCTGTGATTGAGTTATGTATTCATAGTTTTCAGTCAGGTGACATGTGCGGTGACCTGGAGGGCAAAACAACAGACCAACATAGCGGCTCACACCGTAACTCACCCGTAAAGACGCCGCAAAAGCAATCAGATTTTATTTGGATCACCTTTCAACTTAAGAAAAAGAAAGATATGAACACAAACTGCAAGTGATCCCAGGCTTCTCTCCTCCTCGATTAGTGCATCAGAAAGCACAACAACCACCCAGCATGTCCAGCAACTCAAAGTAACAGTGTATCACTTCCTTATTGGTTGGCAGGCAGCGGAAAATAACGTCTTTTTGCCCTCCATGGGAGCGATTTCCTTGGAATGGGAATTGTATGTTTAAATAAACCTTTTTGTCCTGGTCTGTTTTTCACCACTTTTCTATTTGAGTTCACAAAGCTAAGCCTCCGTTGAATTGTCATTATAGCAATTTGTTTTCTAAAAAATTATGAACAATAAATCATAAAACATATGATTTGATTTATGAAGATATTTTTAGTATGACTATGTGTTGTAACATCTGCTGGGGGGAAAAAAAGCACATTTTGTACAGATAGGGGCATCGCTGTGTGGGGTCAAGCTCCCTCTTCCAGACTCTGGGAACAAGCTCCCCCCACTCTCCCTCCCCACGTCTGTTTATGCCATCTGCAAAGCAGCATGATTGTATAGTTTTCAGATGACTGCCAAACGTTAAGCTGGCATCGCTTTCTGAATCATGCCATTATTTGAAACTGTCTGCGTGAGTACGGAATGATCTTGGCTAGTATAATGTCAAGCTATAGCTAAGTGTCTTAGTTGGAGATCTTCCAAGATCCACCACTTCTACACCTACTTGATCACAGTCCCAATCTGCATAAGCAAGTGTCGTCTTTCCAATGACCATGAGGCACCGGCCGTTGTGAATTTAGCTCGCGCTTGTTTGATGAGACGGGTAGGGGCAGCTCCTTGTCTGTGGGACGGACACCAACAAGTTTCTTTTATATACTGTCTCTATACCTGTTTTGCAAACATGGCTTTATAGCTTAAAAGACATGAAGAGATGAGAAAATGGGTAGAAACAACACTTGGAGCATTAGTTGTGACACAGCGTGAGCTAAGTTATCTATAGGCCTTAATGTAAAGTCATTATCAAGCTCAGCAAGTCAACTCTGTTACATAATGCCCTACAAATCCCAACTAATGTGCTGCCAAAACAAACAAGGGAGAAAATATCTTAGCCATGCTAATGCTGTCAAATTCTTGTCAGGAATTACACAGCAGTGTCAGGCTAACAGTAGCCTGGAGTCTGTTTGGACACAACATGCCCCCTTAAACCTGACATACTCTCTGTGCACATGCTGGCACTTTGCCTGCAATACATCTGACAAATTGGTGTTGGTGCGTAGTTGAGCTTCACGCTGCAGTTCAGGTGTCTCAGTTACTTTAAGTCTAATTATAGACAGTCGAGGATAATAACTCTGTGTGTGTGCAAGTTTCTCAAGCGGTTTAAACGAGGCTTTAATGCGCATTGTAACAGAATTGCTCACACATTATGCATGAATGAAGAAATTATCAGACCATGAACAAACCAGCAACTGTATCACATTTAAGTCAGTTATACTGAATTAAATGCTTTGCATCATTGTGCTGTATTACAGAAAATACTGTTTAAAATTTCTGCTGTTTTGTTCCAGTTATGTGCTTCTGTTCCCTGCAAGCTATTTTTAAGTTTTTGGAACCTAGGCTATTGTATTATATAGTTTCATTCTTTTAAGTAATACCACAATTGTTATGAAATGTCAAGCGCTTTGTCCACATCACTTTTTAGCTATTACCATAGGAAAAAACTCCATCAATCATAGAAACAGCAGCACAGTCGAAATGTTTATTTGTTTTCAGTTCAGGTATTTCCCTTAACCGACCGGATTTGTCCAAAGGGTTTTCATGTCTCCTAGCAACAGTACAACCTACCATTGAGGATGTCTATACCCGCAAACAGCCCTCCGCAGCCTGCCTTGAATTGATCACAGGCATCTTTATATTTACATGCAGCTCACTCGTCTTTACATCTCTCTCTCTCTCTCTCTCTCTCTCTCTCTCTGTCATCCAGAACAGGAGAGGCCAGCAGTTCTGTGGTGCCAGGCCAAACCAAACCCAGTGGGCAGACCCATAAGATCTGTTTGGTGTGTTCAGACGAGGCCTCGGGATGCCACTACGGGGTTGTAACCTGCGGTAGCTGCAAAGTTTTCTTCAAGAGGGCTGTCGAAGGTTGGTCCCACATGCCCATCTGCCTTCATCCCCTCATTCAGCCATTCACTCAACCATGACACACTTCTTGTAAACACTGAAAACTTGTTTTAAATTTGAATAATGGGATTTCCACAAATCTTTGTGGGTAAAACATTTGAGAGTGTTTTCATAATAAACATTTTTAATTTTTAACCAATGAATAGCGGCCACATTTACACCAGGGTAAAATCAGATTTGCATATTCATGTACGTATATTCGGTATTATGCCACCACAGCCTTGTACAGTACATTACCGAATGGCAATGGTTAGCATCCTTTAACTTTGTACATTTTGTCCCAAAGATCATCTAATTTATTTGATTTACATAAGATCAGCTCTTGAAGCTTATGTACAACAGTAAAACATCTCTGCTGTTTCTCTTGTCTTAGGCAGCAGAAGATTAACTTATTTCTCAATTCAAGTTCATAGTGGAATAGTAGTTTTCTTGTTGATCTTTAGTAGACACATGTACTGTACTTACATTTTTGTGGGTTTGTCTTGACCTGACCTTGCATGTCACCGCCTCTTCCTCTCTTGCCTTTCCTGTTTACCAAAATGCAAAGGAAAAAGCCCAAAAACTATTACCGCCATGATACCCTTCTGATTAACATAGTATTGCCTTTTAGAGGACTAGTATTATAACAAGCATTTGATATCTTCTAATACAGTATTCAGTTCTTGTCTCACACAAGACATTTGTGCACCAATTACCATGACAGAATCTTGAGATGGGAGGAGCAGGAATGCACCTGAAAGTAATTTTGTGTTAAAGGCTTTATTGTCACGCTCTGCCGGTTGGCCATCCTTTGTGTTTACTTTTGAGTTTGGTATCTGCCTTGGTATGTTGAGTTTTGGGTTCTGTCCTGTCTAGTGTCCAGTATCTGTTATATAGTCTGCTTGTCATGTCTAGTCTCTCTGTTTTCCTCTGCTCTCTCTCTCTCTCTCTGCCTCGTTAGTCTCATGTCTGTCACCTGTGTTGCTCCCGCCCTGCTCGTTAGTCCCTGTGTGTATATATACCTGGTGTTTCTGTCTTGTCCTTGTCCGGTCATTGTTCATGTTACCCCCCAGTCTGTCGTGTGTGTACTCTCTGCCTGTAACCAGCCTTGCTTGTCTCGTCTTGTCTCGTCTCCCGGAACTTTTGGATTTTGGATTTCTGTTATTCAGCCACTCACCTGTAAGTGTGCTCGCTTTTGTTTGTTTATTAAAACCCTTCGTTATACCATACCTGCTCCGCTCTGTGTCCTGCGTTTGGGTTCTCCAACCTGCCTCCACACCACGATCGTGACAGAATGACCGGACCACAAAGGGACCCAGCGGACACCATGTCCGATGAACTGCTTGATCTGTGCCGGGAGCTTATGGTGCTGAGGAATATGTGGTATGGGGCTAGTCATGTTAGCCATAAGGCAGCTATCGTGTCCCTTGCCTGGAAGAGCCTGGCTGCTCAGCCAGGAGCAGCAGACTCTCTCCCTGGGTGGGTTTGTGACTTCCTCCACACCTCAGCCAATCCCCCAGCCAAGTCCTCATCAGTTCCTCAGTCTGTTAGCCTGGAAATGGCTAACACCCGGACCGCTAGCCTCTGGCCGTCATCTCCCCGGCCTGCTAGCCCTCTGCCTGTCCTGCCTGTTACCTGTTCGGCTGGCGCTGCTAGCCCTCCGCCTGTCCTGCCTGTATCCTGCTCGGCTAGCGCCGCTAGCCCTCCGCCTGTCCTGCCTGTTATCTGTTCGGCTGGCGCCGCTAGCCCTCCGCCTGTCCTGCCTGTTACCTGTTCGGCTGGCGCCGCTAGTCCTCCGCCTGTCCTGCCTGTTATCTGTTCGGCTGGCGCCGCTAGCCCTCTGCCTGTCCTGCCTGTATCCTGCTCGGCTAGCGCCGCTAGTCCTCCGCCTAGCCTGTCCGTCCGCCTGCCTGCCCTACCTACCAAGGACTCAGGGACTATGACTCTCCTGGCCTACCTGACCATGAAGGCCAGGGAGTCAGAGGCAGCACGGGCAGCTAGGCTATGGCCTGATAGCCTGGAGGCTAGGCTTTCCCTGGAGTCGTCTTTTGAAGGGAGTCGCCTAGCCATCTTTTCGGGTTCCCGTGGTGGTCATCGGAGGCGACGAGGTCACCATCAGCGACCCGTCGGCAACAAACCTGTACCCTGGCTTGCTAAAACGGCTAGCCGCCTGCCTGATTCCCGGCCCGCTAGCGCTGCTAGCTCCACATCAGACCTGCCTGATCCCTGGCCTACTCCTGCTCCCAGGTCTCACTCGGTCGTCCTACCGACACCTGTTACTGGTCCCTCATCGAAGGTCCGACTGACACCAGTTCCAAGGTCTCCGTCGGTGGCCAGACCGGTTCCCGCTCCCCGTGCCCCGTCGGTGGTCCGACCGGCACCTGCTTCGCCAATGGCCCAGCCGACTCCTGTTCTCCCGTCGGTGGTCCGACCAACACCAGCTCCGTTGGTGGCCCAGCCTGTTCCTCGTGTCCTGTTGGCGGATGGACCGGCTTCAGCCCCGCCGGTGGTCCGGCCGACCCCTGCTCCTCGTGTCCGGTCCATGGTTCCCAGCCCAGCTGTCCAGTCGGTGGTCAGGCCGACTCCAGCTCCTCGTGTCCGGTCCATGGTCCCCAGCCCAGCTGTCCAGTCGGTGGTCAGGCCGACTCCAGCTCCTCGTGTCCGGTCCATGGTCCCCAGCCCAGCTGTCCAGTCGGTGGTCAGGCCGACTCCAGCTCCTCGTGTCCGGTCCATGGTCCCCAGCCCAGCTGTCCAGTCGGTGGTCAGGCCGACTCCAGCTCCTCGTGTCCGGTCCATGGTCCTCAGCCCAGCTGCTCAGTCGGTGTTCAGACCGACTCCAGCTCCTCGTGTCCGGTCCATGGTCCCCAGCCCAGCTGCTCAGTCGGTGTTCAGACCGACTCCAGCTCCTCGTGTCCGGTCCATGGTCCCCAGCCCAGCTGCTCAGTCGGTGTTCAGACCGACTCCAGCTCCTCGTGTCCGGTCCATGGTCCTCAGCCCAGCTGTCTCGCCGGTGGTCCTCAGCCCAGCTGTGCCTCCAGAGCACCCAAGCTTTGGGTGCCGACCTCCGGAGAGGTCTTGCCGTCAGCCTCCTGCTCGGCCCCCAGTGGGGTTGCTGCCTCACTGTTGGCCGTCCTGCCAACCCCTTGAACTCTGTGGCCCCCCTGTTCTGCCCGGCCTGTTGAGTCGACCTCCGGCACGGCCTCCTGAACTGTGTTTACCCCCTGATTTGCCCGGCCTGTCGGGTCATCCCCCGGGACGACCTCCTGAACTCCGTGATCTCTTTGGTCTGCACGGCCTCCTGGGTCGCCCTCCAGGACGGCCTCCTGAACTGTGTTTTCCCCCTGATTTGCTCGTCCTGTTGGGTCGTCCTCCGGGACGGCCTCCCGAACTGTGTTTTCCCCCTGATTTGCTCGGCCTGTCGGGTCGTCCTCCGGGACGACCTCCTGAACTCCGTGATCCCTTTGGTCTGCACGGCCTCCTGGGACGCCCTCCGGGACGACCTCCTGAACTGTTCTGCCCCTCTGCCTTGCCCTGCATGTTAGGCCAAGCGCCTTACCTGCCCTGTTTCCTGGGCATGATCTGCCTGTTGGGTGGTTCCCCCGGACTGTTTTGTCCCCTTGGCCTGCTTGTGCGATCTCCCGAACTCTGTCGCCCCCTTGCCTTGCCCTCTGGCCACCCTCCTGAGAGTTCCTGGTCTGGCCCTCCTCCTGTCCTCCCTCCGCCCACCCTGGCTCGACTTGCCCTCCTCCTGTCCTCCCTCCGCCCACCCTGGGCCGGCTTGTGCCTTGTTTTTGGGCTGTTTTGTTGACCGTCTGGAGACGCTCGTCGGTGGGGGGGTACTGTCACGCTCTGCCGGTTGGCCATCCTTTGTGTTTACTTTTGAGTTTGGTATCTGCCTTGGTATGTTGAGTTTTGGGTTCTGTCCTGTCTAGTGTCCAGTATCTGTTATATAGTCTGCTTGTCATGTCTAGTCTCTCTGTTTTCCTCTGCTCTCTCTCTCTCTCTGCCTCGTTAGTCTCATGTCTGTCACCTGTGTTGCTCCCGCCCTGCTCGTTAGTCCCTGTGTATATATACCTGGTGTTTCTGTCTTGTCCTTGTCCGGTCATTGTTCATGTTACCCCCCAGTCTGTCGTGTGTGTACTCTCTGCCTGTAACCAGCCTTGCTTGTCTCGTCTTGTCTCGTCTCCCGGAACTTTTGGATTTTGGATTTCTGTTATTCAGCCACTCACCTGTAAGTGTGCTCGCTTTTGTTTGTTTATTAAAACCCTTCGTTATACCATACCTGCTCCGCTCTGTGTCCTGCGTTTGGGTTCTCCAACCTGCCTCCACACCACGATCGTGACATTTATGCCATGAATTCCATCTCCCTCTGTTTCTCTCTGCTTCTGTTTCATTTCCTGTCTGTCAAAAGCTGTATATGGATATGTGTAATTAGTTTGAAAAGGCTTTCTGGGGAGTATGTTACTGTTAATTTCATTAATTCAGCAATGGATAGGTAATGCCTAGGTATTCAATAAATAATCTACCTTCTATTTATTATTAACCCAAATAATAATTAATGCACAGACATGACCCATACTCTCTTCTATTCAGGTCCCAGTTAGCAGTCTGGCAGCCTTGTCCATAAATTTCATTCTGATCCTATATATCTCTATTTGTCAGTTTCCTCTATATCTGTAACTAACGTTGCTAGTGAAATAATACAGTTAGTGACTAAACTAACTTTACGGAAATCATTAATGAATGTTTAGTCATGCAGTGAAAACGGATTGTTTGACTTCTGCACTAGTTCAGGACTAAAACTTAGCTGGTGGTAGATAATTGAAACTTTGAAGACATTAGTCTCATGCATACAATCAAGTACTTATTTGAGGCTTATATTAATTTAGAAAGTATGTATAAAAATAGTAATAGAGATAGAATTGTAAAGTTATAAATATGAACACTTGATTTGAGCTGGACAGTCTATATCAGTTCATTTGTTGAGTTGTATGATTCCTGACTTCTGTTATCTAGCTTATCAGCTTTTTATTACGTGCTGGTGTAAATGCCAAGCACTAAAAACTGAAGTGCACGTTTTATTTTGAAAAGAGCTGCCTACAGTAGCACTGAGAAAGTTACATCTGTTATTTTTGTTTTTCTCCCCCCCCTCTCCATTCTACGGTCGTTGTCTCTATGGTGAAGGATGGAGAGCACGACAAAACACAGATGGTAAATAAATTCAATTTCAATAATAACAATAATAATTATAATAATAATGATGATGATGGTAAAACTATAAACTCTGATTTGCCCATGTCCCTGTATTCCTTCAGCACTGAAATATGATCAATCTGCCTAGACACATGCATGGCCTCTTCTGCCAACTATCTGTTAATGCACGCAAATGCTCCGATTTGGTAATTCAAGTCAGCGTAAATTCCCTGTGAGTGATTTTGTGCTCTTCAATTTCTGCTGCTTGGAATGCTCCACCTCATCATTCTCACAGGTGGTACATCCAACAATTGCAATCACATGATGTCTCTAAGTAGGCCTATGCTTTTGCACTTGACCCACATTAACCACTGGATCTGACCGCCTCAACTTTTTATTCTTGTGCTGTTCATGTGTTTTATTCACTCTGTATGGTTTCTACTGACACCTTTAGTTTGGCCATTCAACTGGACTGGACAATTGTAGTCTACAGTAACCTTGTCCTGTGAAAACCCTGTATCTCTAAAACATCAGCTTTTTATGAGCAAAGAACAACGCCCTGTTTTTAGCTTTATGAATTGTGACCATGCATTTATCAGGTAATCCATTTGGTTGTTAAATGGTTTACTTATCTTAAAAATGTTAATTTTCTGAACCCATAATCTGATAAACTGAGGGATCATTTCATCCTTCAGTTTATCTGAAAAATCACCACATTTTGGTTTACATGGTTTTCACTGGAAAGCAATGATAAGGGAGTTCATAATGTGTTTACGCAATGAGTAAGGCCAACAGGAAATGGAGTTACAAGAAATAAAGTAACACCCAAAATGGGTGACATGTGGCTATTGATATAATCATTTATTAGATGTGAGGAATTCAAATAAAAGGTGTGTCTGAGACAGATTTTTGGACATTTTCAGTTAAGGAGCATAACCTTGAATTTCTAAATTACTCTTAATAACAGAGATATCTTAAATAGATAATAGGGAACACACTAATGTCTAATACCGTAAATATTAGGTTTTGCCAGTAGGTAAATCTAACATTGTCAATATAATCACTTTCCCTGTCTGTTTTTTAACTATACTTACACATAACTCTTAATAAAACTATTTGTTTTTTTTATTTCTAAGGAACAATTTTACCTAAAATAATTTGTAAATTTGAATTTCTACATTAATTAACTATTTTACAGTAAAACACACCTGCCCACAGTGGTTTCCACACCTCAGATTGCTACAATCCTCCCCAGATATTCATAATCTTCTGCAGTGCAGTGTTTTTCCTTCATGTCAGCTAACATTATTTTTGGGTTGGGTGTATCAAAGACAGTAGCCAAATAAGTTCCTCTTCTTGACTTTAGTGAGGAGTTGACTCACTGGTTTTATAGCTTAAGTATTTAGGCAAAATACATATTTAAAAGTGCACATAACTCATGTTTCCTGTGATTACAAAATTGCCGGAGAAATATTTTGTGAAGGAGAAAGTGTTTAGATTATTTAAAATGATATGACCTTGATTTTAATGATTTGTAAGTCCTTGAGTTATCCGCTAAATTTTATATAAATTCTATTCCAGAGAAACACATAAACAGACTGGGAATATTTATTTAAGTTTATTATCAATAAAGAGAACTAAAAGTATGATTTTCACATGTTATGAGATTATAATTTGATTGTTTTGATTAAGCAAAAATACCAAACATTTGCTGGTTATTTTTTCACACATAAAAGGAGTTGCTTCATTTTAAATTTGCAGATTAAGTAACTAGTAATTGTTGCTGAAAGGATCAGTACAGGTTCAAACTCTGGAGCTTCCTTGCTTGCTGTGAGTTGACAGTGCAAACCACTGGCCCACTGAGCAAACACTCATTAGTTGCAGCCCTGCATGCTAGTGTTAGCTCCAAACGCAACCAGGCCCGTGTTAGCAGATCAGTGCAGGATAAGGGAGAGAGAATATCAGTGGGATTCAGCTGCCACTTTTGATACAACAGATGGCTGTTTATGCCATTGTTTGCATTGACTTCCTGTGATATCAGCGATGGCTGCAACTGGCAGTACCTGGGCCGCTATTGCCAGCAACCCTGTAGATTAATTTCCTGACTGCATAGAATATGATTATTTTTTTGAAAGGTAATTCTTTCTGTGATTTTGACAAATGTATAAAGAAGTACTGCCTTTGCCACTCATATTAATATAAACTCAAGTTTTATAGATATGAATAAGTAAGAGCACTGCTTTGTTACAGTTAAATTAGTCCATACTATGAACTTAAGCCTTTCCAGCAATGTTAAGTACAGTACATACTGTATACTGACACATGTTTGCTCCATCTTTTTTACAGAATTTATTTGGCTTCAGCCACCTTCAACTTAGCATGCTGCTGTTCTGAAACATCATTAAGCTGAGCTAATCATTTGCTCGATGTCCCACATTCAGTGTTGGCTGGTGCTGCTATTTAGGTTGCTGTATTAGGCTCAACATTCACTCAGTTGTGAGCAAACTGGAAGTGGGCAAAATAATATTGAAAATGAACTGCCTCAGACACAATACAATACACATTTAAAAATATATGTTCTTAATCATATTGCACAGGTTGAAAATTAGTTTAGCTTTAGATGAGCATCTTAAACACTGGATAACGTTAACGCAGAAATAAAACAATACAAAATTACAATATAGGAGACCCAATATTACTTTTTTCCTTTAAGTTTGTGGCTGATGTATCAAGACACACAAAAATGCCTCTGGGAGCTAAACCTTAAATGCAGCAGGAAGTCAGCCATTTTGAAGTGAAAGTGTATTTTTCACCATTTACTGGCACCGTACTTTAACAAACCCCTCCTGGACAATTGGATCGACTTTAAATGTTCGTGGTGTAGTCCAAACATCTTTGCCATGAAAATTTGAGCTAACAGTGAGTTTTCGTTGAAGAGTGTGTCTGTGGCGTGGTGTTAAATTACGATGTTTCACCATGAAACAGGAAGTTGTTTTAACTTGAGTGTACATGCCCCTCAGGAAAACAAATTACACACTGTACAGTATTATTTTGACATGGTGCCAGCAGTATTATTGAATGCCCTTTAGTTCAAAAAGCTGCATCAAACACATGATATTTCAAAGATCAGTAATAATATTTATAGTCCCAAAGGGCACATTGTCAAAGCTCTGTTAACTTTATATAAGGTTTTGTTTCAGCCAATGATGTTGTGTTGCGGTCATGCAGAAACTTCTAAGTGTGTGTGCAATAAATGAAGGGTTGCTGGAGAGTGGCAGAGGCAGAACAAGTTAAACATTTATTGTGTCATCCGGGGTGATGAAATTTTATCAGTTTAGAATAGAGGGCCAAGTTTCAAGACTATGAAGACCTCACATTACATGGTTTCCATATGGCTATTTATTGTATCTGCCACTCCTCACAGTGTAAAAGATGTGTAGATCTGCTCTATAATGAGTAATGATATTACAGAAGATGTGACTAATGAGCAGGTCTTCTACCTTACCTCTGAAAATCTACAGTAATTAGTGATGGGGGAGCATGCTAAAATTTAGTCCTCCAGTCACCCAGGAGGGGCATATCCATCCATCCATCCATCGTCAACCGCTTATCCTGCGTACAGGGTCGCAGGGGTAGGGGCATATGCTCTTTAATAAGACTTAATTTTGAATTTAAAATGTTTCAATGGAACAATGCATCGCAAAGGGGAGTGATGCAATATGGCTGTTTTCCATTGCAGTGCTCGAACTGAAAAAGCTCAAAGATCATCTATTGACCTGGTAATCAATGAGTGACAATACATGTAGAAAAAAACCCAACAAAAATGTTTTTGTTTGTTTGTTTTGTGGTTTCACCTCTTTTTTCTGCCCTTTGCATACCATTTTCAGCATGCCATGCATTTCTCTGTCAGACCAGAAAGTCTGCTTTTAGGAATCCAGTATTTGAAAATAACAACTTATTAAAGCCAGTGACAAGAATATGAAGCTAGCTGTAACACCTGTGGATGGTTTGACGCAAAAGGTAGCTTCGATTAAGTTTGCTGTGCAAAATCAGTATGTTTGAATTACATGGAAATCTCTTGTGTGTGTGATAACTTCAATCACTGGATCATTTTTTCAATCCTGCTGACTTCCTGTTAACAGTGACCAGTAAACGGAAGAATATGGCAAAACAAACCAAGAATCATTTTCACTGGCAGATAATGTTTAGTGACGAGTCTTTCCAAATCACTGCCTAAGGTCTGTTTTCCACTGTGTTACTGTTGATGATCTCAGCAGCAGATGTGAAGTTCTTTGTTGGGTTAATGACTCATATAGCACATCTGAAGTAATTGTAGTTAATCATGACAGTTTTATAGAAAAACTGTCATAGCAAAACCTAAACAGATGACCATGGTGTGCTTGGCATGATTTTAAGGGACATCCCCTTTTTTGATTTTGTCTTTTATTGATTATGTCTCAGTATGAACCCAAAATAATGTGATGATGCTGGAAAGATAAGATTCATATGACATTCCTCAGGCTCTGCCACGCAAGTACTTTATGTGCTTAAAGCAAGACACACAGGCTACTTCCACTGAAGTGGCATGGCTTGAGGTGGCGACAGTGCCACAGCTTGATATCAGCACAGAGAAGACAAAGATGAAAAGAAAGCACAAGAAATTCCCAGAATTAGCATAATGAACAAATAAGCAGAATTTATTGCCAGGCTTCTGAAAAATTATGTTGATGCCTGGAATGGCAAATCCCATCAGCCGTGAAGATCACAGAGGAGCTACTCACAGTCTTAAACCTTTATCACAGCTGCATAGTAGTTTACATTAGTCTTTTTTGTTTGTTTACTTAAGCGTTGTTACTCAATTGCATACCATACTCGCAACTAATACACTCTTTAGACTCCGGCAAGATGAGAGGAGGGGGACTCTGTGTTTTACATCAGTGATGCTTGGTGCTCAAACACAGTTAAAGGGGATTTATGTAGTTTTTCAATGAAATCACTTAATATTAATAAATCAAAATTTCACTGGCTTATTGGCAGTAGGCTCTAACCTCACTTAGAAATGAAGCACAGGCCTGTTTTCTCTGTTGCTTGGACCAGCCAATATTCTGCTTTTGATGCGAAGGCACTGGGTTGGGATGTAGCTGTGCGCGCTGTCAAGCCTCTCTCCGGCTACAGCGACAACACCTTAGCTAACGAAATGCAGTCCACTAAAACCATAACCAGCACAACACAGGCTCCAACACTAACTCTAACATAAACTCCACGAATCAGACGATGTTGGTGAAAACGTCAACGTCAGAAAGGCTGCAGTGACGGAGAGAGTGACATTACCTCGTTAGCAGTTGCTAACATAATCCAGTGCAATATATATGTAACGTTATGGCTTTCCACATTACTTCACCAGCTAACGCGATCCACATTACATATGATATTGTGTATCACCGGTATTATGTCAAAGTGTTGATTTTAGCCTACAAGAAATTATGTTTTTTATGGTATTAACAGTAATTAACGGTACAAAGCAAATGTGGAGTGATTTGTTTATACTAGCCTTGATGCAGGGCAGGAGCAGCTAGCTAAATTAGCATAGGTTTTTGGTTTTGGCCTTTTTATCACATTTGTTTCCAACAACAGAAATAAAGAAACAGCTTCATCCTTTAACGTCTCAAACTGTTAAAATCACACACGGACATTACTCCTAAAATGTTTGATGGCACAGACACATAATTTCTTCCCTCTGGTTAAATATCTATTGCTGCCTCTTTTTCAAATCAATTTAATCAAATTATAGTTTCATCTCTGGTTTATTTTCCTGCACCCTAATCATGTAAGGCATTCATATTCGGGTAGAAAAAGAGTTGTTATGAGAAACGTAAAGCTTTCATTGTCTGCAAACAAACTATTTAGACTCTAGTACATGGGCCATAATATAAATGTGGACCGTTTCTAATTGTTGGGCTGAAAGAGCTCTGTACACAATCATGGCATTATGGCATGTGTTCCAAGTGCAGGCTTAAACAAGTGAAGCCGTCAACACTAGAGGGAAGCCACAGGCTTGTGAGGCTTACTGTAGAATCAGCAGGTGGTTAGTGCGGTCATAATATATACTGCTCATGCTATTCCTTCTCAAGCCTTCTTAGCTAGCTAATATGTCTTCCCTTTCCCCCCTCTTCTTCTTGTTCTTCCTCTCCTCTGTACAGGCCAGCACAACTACCTGTGTGCAGGGAGAAATGACTGCATCATCGATAAAATCCGGAGGAAGAATTGCCCAGCCTGCCGCTTCAGGAAATGTCTTCAAGCCGGAATGAACTTGGAAGGTAAACAGTCTTTAAATCAGGCCAGGCCTTGTTAAAACTGACTTTAAAGTCAGTGAAACAGCAGTTAGAGTGGTTTTAGCTTTCATAATGAGCAGTATTTCCAACCAAAACGGAATACTTTGGCGGGTGTATTGCCCAAAAAATGGCTTAAAATTTATTTTATTTTAATGTGTCTTTAAATAGTGGCTTGTTGAAATTCCCCTTGAGCGAGTGTCATGTCACTGGCCATCTACTACGACCTCCAGTATGTCTGGTTTCTTTTAAACCACCAAACCACCCAAGTTTATGGAACAAGGGCAAGTTGTGTTGGTTCAAATCTTGTGTCACACAACCTCTGTCTTAAATGATAGTCTCAGAAAAGAATACTCCCATAACTACAATGCCTGTTACTTTAAGTAGCATTCCAACTATTACAAAACTATGTATTTTAGACGGCAGAAGACACAATCACCTTTATTTCATTTTCACATTATTCACTTTATATGCCCTGTCTTTTCCCAAACTTCTTAGTGAGTTTGATATTTGTTTAATCATATTATATTAAAAATGCTCTGTGATTTTATTTTTGGTTTCTTACTTTTTCCAAAGAGCACCAAATATTTTTGCTGGGTGTCTAAAATTGGAAAAGACAGTATGTAATAATTCTGGATTATTGTTAGGGTATGATTACTCTGAAATCATCGGTTTTTGTACCAATGCTTTGTTTTTAAATATAGTGACAAAGATGAATACAGATGACTTGTGGAAAGATTGAAAGTGAACAAATGGCCTCGAGTCAAGAGACATTTGAGGTGTCTAACAACATCATCGAAAGAGTAACACCCAGTAACATACTTTGCTTTTTACCAGAAACAGAAGTCTCGCTCAAGGGCAGTTCTTGCTCTGAAATATCGTGAGGGGTGAGTTGTTGCAGGAAACACTGGTGGAAATGAGAGACAGAAGTTTGTTGTGTACATAGAGGAACTGCAAGCAAGACTTTAATGCCTAACGTTACTCCAACACAACAGAATCCTCTCTCTAACTCTGACTTACATTTCCACCGTCGTCTTCCCGCAACAACTCACCTCACATATTTACTTATACTTATATTTACTAATGACTCTTTAAGAGGACCTTTCAAATCACTGAAAAGTCCTGGATCCACAAGTCCTCCTGAACATTTAGCTCTACACAAGCATTGGAAAAGCTGCAGTCTGTGAACATGCGTGTGCCGTTGTCTATGAATGTGCAGGCCTGGATGAGGCCAGGCCAGAATGAGAGAGCGCCACTGCCTCACACATTGATCAATGCATAATCCACTGTCAAGTCCCAGGTCCACAGTCTTGGATCATATGGTGATCTTTCACCTGATTCTGCTTCAAGGGATTAGTGTTTAGGACTCTGTGCTGTGAGCTTTAGGAAGATGGACATAGGAAGCAACAGGTGAAGTGCTTGGAACTTGATTGTTGTGTTATTTCAGGTGATGATGCTTCCTTGTATGTATATTCCTTGGCATGTAAGTTGTGTTCAGTAGTTTGTACAAATCAGTGTTGAGTGAAATTACATGTAAACTGTCCAGTTTTTGTCAGACAGAGGTAGAGTTGTTTCAGAGACAGAAAGACAGAGAGAGGGATTTGATGAATGTCAGCACATCAGCAGACAGACTCCCACCAGAGAGGCTCTTAGTTGCCATAGAAACGCCAGGAGAGGAAATTTAAAAAGGCAGAGAATAGAAAACATTCATTACCATTTTCATGTTAACCTCTCAACCCCTCATATGTTTTGCACATTTGGTGGGAGAAAATGTCAAAATGATGCCCAGATAATCTACATTTTGTGCGCAAAAACACAGCAATTTGCAATTGCTGTTGCTGCACTCAAGAGAAACTGCAAAAAAAACATTACCAAAATGTTCCTCTGAGAAATGGAAAGGTTTTACCTTGTAAAGTGAAGACTGGTTTACTACAAGTGCACATTGCTTCAAATTTATGACAGTCGGTTCATTTTCTTGCTGTTTTTAATTAATTAACTCAGTTGTTTCAATCACTTGTTTGCCCCCTTTCATCTAGGTAAGGTGTAGTAGAGGCAACGGGGACAGGGTCTTAACCAGGATGTAAAAAGTACTGAGGCCAGTTGAGGCTAGGATCAAGTGAGGTGGTGGCACTGGCAGCCTGAAATCCGAAAGAACCACAGTGCCACTGAAAAAGCAGTGTGTTATTATGAAAGCTGCTTAGTTCAGTTGGATTTGAACTGACATTAATTAATGTCACAAATACATAAATGTGATTAATAAATGTGATAGAATCCATAGTTGTTTGCAAACAAATACAGTCGTGGTGAGGTGCCATTGGGTAACATGGGGTGGATAGCTCACCACTCCAGTGTCAAAATGAGATTACTAACCAAAATAAAGTAAAGTAAATCAGAGAAAGGAGTGTTGGAAAAGTGTATTAATTATGTGCACCAGCCTTGGTTGGTACATTTTCTGAGGTTTACTTGTGTGTTTAACAGATCTGGCTGCTTTCATGTCCACATGTGTGTTTATCTCATTGTCAGTGTTTCTTATGGATTCTTTAGTTTAATTGCAACAGTGTCTCTGTGAATTATATATCTTTGGGTTTTAGACTGTTTTTCCGATGAAACAGCACATTCGTCTTTCTGAGAAATTGTGATGGATCTTTTTCGCTATTTTCTGACATTAATAGACCAAATCGATGAATCGAGAAAAGACATGTCAGATTAATTCATGATAAAAAGGATCATTTGTTGTTTGTTTTGGTTGGATCTTACCTTCTGTTAGTTGAACATCTGTCTCCTTGCTCTGTAAGCAGTCTATAACATGTACCATACAGTAGTGGTTCTAAAAGTGGGATTCCAGGGGGTCCCCAGCAAATTTATTTTCACTATAATTACATCCACAAATAACACAATTACAGAATGTATTACTACTTTGGTCATGTATTTTATACACTTTCTGTATTAAAATCTACAAGCAAAGATCATACACTTTTCAAAAAAATAAAGGGAACACATCCTAGATCTGAATGAATGAAATAATCTCATTAAATACTCATAGTTGAATGTGCTGACAACAAAATCACACAAAAATTATCAATGGAAATCAAATTTATCAACCCATGGAGGTCTGGGATTTGGAGTCACACTCAAAATCAAAGTGGAAGACCACACAACAGGCCGATCCAACTTTGATGTAATGTCCTTAAAACAAGTCAAAATGAGGCTCAGTAGTGTGTGTGGCCTCCACGTGCCTGTATGACCTCCCTACATCGCCTGGGCATGCTCCGGATGGTCTCCTGAGGGATCTCCTCCCAGATCTGGACTAAAGCATCCGACAACTCCTGGAGAGTCTGTGGTGCAATGTGGCGTTGGTCGATGGAGCGAGACATGATGTCCCAGATGTGCTCAATTGGATTCAGGTCTGGGGAATGGGCGGGCCAGTCCATAGCATCAATGCCTTCCTCTTGCAAGAATTGCTGACACACTCCAGCCACATGAGGTCTAGCATTGTCTTGCATTAGGAGGAACCCAGGGCCAACCGCACCAGCATATGGTCAATCTCAAGGGGTCTGAGGATCTCATCTTGGTGCTTAATGGCAGTCAGGCTACCTCTGGCGAGCACATGGAGGGCTGTGCGGCCCCCCAAAGAAATGCCACCCCACACCATTACTGACCCAAACCGGTCATGCTGGAGGATGTTGCAGGCAGCAGAACGTTCTCCACGGCGTCTCCAGACTCTGTCACGTCTGTCACGTGTGCTCAGTGTGAACCTGCTTTCATCTGTGAAGAGCACAGGGCGCCAGTGGCGAATTTGCCAATCTTGGTGTTCTCTGGCAAATGCCAAACGTCCTGCACGGTGATGGGCTGTAAGCACAACCCCCACCTGTGGACGTCGGGCCCTCATACCACCCTCATGGAGTCTGTTTCTGACCGTTTGAGCAGACACATGCACATTTGTGGCCTGCTGGAGGTCATTTTGCAGGGCTCTGGCAGTGCTCCTCCTGCTCCTCCTTGCACAAAGGCGGAGGTAGTGGTCCTGCTGCTGGGTTGTTGCCCTCCTACAGCCTCCTCCATGTCTCCTGATGTACTGGCCTGTCTCCTGGTAGCGCCTTGTCAATCAGTAGTGCTTCCTAAGTGGACAGTTTGATTTCACAGGAGTGTGATTGACTTGGAGTTACATTGTGTTGTTTAAGTGTTCCCTTTATTTTTTTGAGCAGTGTATTAGATGGGGGACCCTGGGACAAAATTGTATCACATGGGGGTCTGTTGTGTAATTTGTGTCAGTTTAGGGGTCCGTGAAAAGGTTTGGCATACAGTATACGCCTCTCTGGACACAACACATGTCTCCCCACTAAATCCATCAAATTGTATCAATATCATCTATTAATCACTAACAAACAGCTTTTATCTTTAATTTAGTCTACTGCCTGGATTCTGTTGTTTGGATGCTGTTGGTTGTCTGTAAGTAAAATCGGTCTCCCTGTTTTGTTTCTCCTTCCCGCCCCTTTTTTTCTCCTCTGCCCTGCCCCGCCCCCCAGCAAGGAAAAACAAGAAGCTGATCAAGATGAAAGTGCAGCGGCCCATTGGATCATCAGAGCCTATCAGCAACATGCCTGTTCCAGTCATCCCCAGGTGCATGCCCCAGCTTGTGCCCACCATGCTGTCTGTGCTGAAGGCCATCGAGCCAGAGATCATCTACTCGGGCTATGACAGCACACTGCCTGACACCTCCTCACGACTCATGACCACCCTCAACAGGCTGGGTGGGCAGCAGGTCATCTCTGCAGTCAAGTGGGCCAAGTCACTGCCAGGTAACAAAAAGCTCCTTAGCATTTGTTGTTGTTTAGATGCATATCACTGCTCAAGCAAAGTGTGTCACTGGCAGTATTTCTAGCTTGTAATTGAGACTAATGTGTAGTGAGGTGAGCCAAGTCACTGATGGAAAATGAAGTCACTTGTTAATTCTAATACATGCAGCTGGTCAAGGAAGTTGCATCACCTTTAGGAAATTAAATGAAGAATTTCCATGGTTGTGCAACACAACATTTGCAGTTTGACTAGACATTTAGTACACAATGACAAAGCATTCAATTTTGCCCTCCAGTGCTAGTCAGCATTGTTAGCATTTCAATCCTCAGTAAAACTAAGGAACATGAGTAGCCACAAGTTAACTTGTGAAACAGTGCAAAGTATGTGATGTTGAAGAAACATGCTAATTTACAATATTTTTACAATGTCCTTGTAGTTTCTAATCATGAGAACGAAGGCACATGACTCTGTAGAGGTTAGAACAGGTGTGGAGATGTTACTCTAATCAGATTAATAACTTTAATAGGGCTCTTCAGATTTAGACTGCAGCTTCAGGCTGATCAGGTAAAATCATTCAGTAAATGAGAAGCAAAGAAGGAGCCATTATGTAGCCAATGTTCATCATTTAACTGATTCATTTAGCCAGTTAGTTATCTTAATTGTTGCATTGGTAACTGTTAAAACTGCACAACCCCCCCCCCCAGAAAAGATGTAGTTTACCCCAGATGATTCCTCTTGACAGTAGAGCCAAAGAACAACACATGTGGTGTAATAAAAAAGTGTGACCTCTGTAATGGCTAAATCCATAATTACAGATGGAAGATGAGAGCAACGGTGGATTATAAATGAACAATTCTCTATAGAGACCCAGTTCCTCCAAAGTAGTTTGATATCAAGTCTTGACCAAGGTTAATATATTTTTGAATGTACATAAAGATGATGTTCCTACAACCCTAATTGTCCCTTTTTTATCTCAATTGTCAGTGTCATCTTGACTTATTTGAGTGTATAGAGTACATATAGTTTTGAAAAATACCCCATCTTGCTTCAATTCCTGTATTATTATTGATCATCTAACAGTGTCCCAAGTGTGTGTGTGTGCATTAAAGACATAACATTTTAGGAGAGGATGTTGAAAGAGGAGCAAGTCAGTATCATCGTAGCTTGTTAGCTAGCTGCTGTTTTATACCACTGGTTTTAAACTCCTATCAAGTCATGCCTCCAAAAGTAAATGCTTTGGGATTCAATTCATAAAGGGATATACTTATATTTTACTGTTGTCCTAAATAACTTGAATTCATGTTATAAACATCAAACAAAAAGAAAATTGCTGGGTTTGAAGGCCTACCCAGTTTAATTTCCACAAAAACAAAAATGGAAACGCAGAGTTTGGAATTTTAACCATCCATGCTAGTTTGTAATCATGAGAAAGAAGGCACATGACTTTATAATCGCTCCAAGTATTTGCTTGGAGATTTTCTCTTCTCACTGTAATTTTTTCTATTGGTCACAACATAGATTTAAATCAGAATTCCGAGAGAAAATCTCTCAACAAAACCATAATGTAGAACCTTTTTTGGGGGGATTTCTCTGCATGTGACAGTATGATGAGGGACAAATCTGACTCTAATCTTGTTGTGTGTGCGTTGTCCACAGCTGGGAGCTGATAGTAAGGAAAAGCTCTCAGAAGGGGTGGGGGTTACATAACAAAGCAAAGGACTTTCATGTGTCCACTTTTATAATTTTGACATCATGGAAATGTCTGAACTGCAATTTAATTCCAGTTTGAACGTCAACTTCACTTAGACCGTCCTATTTTGCTATGTGTAAGCTGGCATAATTGTGTTTTTGTGAGGAAAATAGAAGAGGAAAATCACAAGCAGCAACTTACCCAGTCACCCTAATATGGTAAATCATTATTTTACAAGCTGCATAACACCTTAAGCTGTACTGAAAAATATTAGACATTGTATATTTACTACTCTGTTGACCCAACAATGTTTAAAGAACAACAAAGTTCTGAAATTAAATTGTGTCATGTCATTGGCTGCTTGTTTAATGTGTGTGACTTATGTGTTTGTGCCTCTCTGTCTGTCTGTCTGCCATTGTCTGTGTGCCTTTGCAACCCACTTTATCTGACTTTTTTAGGCTTCCGCAACCTGCACCTGGATGACCAGATGACATTGCTGCAGTGCTCCTGGCTCTTCCTCATGTCCTTCAGTCTTGGTTGGAGGTCGTACGAGCAGTGTAACGGAAGCATGCTCTGCTTCGCCCCTGATCTCGTCATCAACCAGTACGTACTCCAGCCAGCTGTTGTATAACTATGCAGTCCTTCCTTTTGCACAACATTTTGTCAGCCAATTATGTCTTTGCATTGGCTCATTTCAGGGTGTCTGCCTTACTTGGCTTACTTATCACTTGGCTTACACACTTATCCAGCTGTCTACAGTACACTTGAAATTTAGCAGTTAAGATGTTAAATCAGGTGAAAAGGAGCAGCCGGTGACACCATGTTTATCAGGGTTATTGCATGGCTGTCTGAACACTCTTCAGCCCGACAGTGGAGTTATCTGAGTCAAAGACAGGTACAGAGTAATTGAACATTTAAAATGAGGAGATGGAGGAGATGTCCCTCAAAATGTGGCTCAAATGTTCCCTGGCCTAACCCACCTATCTAGCTCTATACACTGCTTTAAAGGAATAGTTAGACATTTTTAGAAGTCACTTATTTGTCAGGAGGTGATTAGGCTATCTTAGCATACTATCTGAAGGCAAGGGGAAACAGCTAGCCTGGTTCTGTCCAGTTTAAAAATATGCCTTCAAGCACCTTTTCACTAATTCTTGGCTGGTTTGGGAGGGAGGCCTGAAGGAAGGGGGTGGGATTTTTTCAGTTGGATATTTTCAAAATCTAGCTCTTGCTAGTTTCTCCATTTTGCCTACCTTAGCTTTAAGCGACAAAAAGTAATACATTGTTCATTTTCACCAGCTGGAAGAGTTCTGAAAATTTTATTATTTATTCAGATTCACAATATTTCCCAATCAAAATCTTACATTTCAGTTTTTGATATTCTCAATATATCACCCAGCTCTAGGTGTACCAGCTGTACACAGGTTCTCAATCCCAAGAGCTAAGTAGACTGTTGGTTTGTGTTGCAAGTGTGAAATGAAACAACATGTTTTGAATATTTATAGGAAAGAACCCTAATGCTTTGCAATATGCACAAGAAATCACATTCATCAGGAAAGCACATTTCTTTTACAGACAGAAGATAGTACATAAATTAAATAAACTATACAGTAAATAAACTTCGGTGCTACCTAAGTCACAGAGAGTCAGCTCAGTTAAGACTGCCGTTTGTTAATTACAAAGCCACATTACTTAAACAATCACTAGCTGCAAATTGATTGTGCTTTGAAGTCTCTGTGCTTACCACAGTCTCTGTAGTCCCTAGAGGAATCATAAGGCAGAGGCAGGAGCTAAAACAGAGCATTCAGACAAAGGGTGAATAGAGGTGCAGCAGTAATGGATAGTATTTGAAAAATGGTGTGTTTTTTGAACATGAAAGTATGTGAACATACTCTAGTAGACATCCAAAATGAAATTATGAACCTGAAAATTAGCATAATATGGGACCTTTAAATACTCATGGACGTAAAACAACATTGTCTCATTTTATCCATTATCTTTGATATTAGTCAGCTGGCTCCAGCCCCCGCGACACTCTATGCAGGATAAGCGGTTGACGATGGATGGATGGATCTTTGATATTAGTCCCATTCCCTCTCTTAGCTAACCTCCATTCCACTAGGTGTTGTATTTCTGAAAAGCTAGCAAAAGTGGAGTTTAATGTCCATATTTTAGATAAATGAGTATCTACTTTGTGCTGGATTGTTACATTTAATTTCCTACTCATTTCAACAAAGTGGAAATTATTATTTTGTTAGTTAGTTAGTAACAACAACAGCCTTCATGGGTTCAATTCAAAATGTTCAATATTGGTATCAATATGATACACTATCTGTGTTTCAAAAAAATCAATTGTGTATTTACCAAATGTTGTGGACAATTGTTGAAACAATTTTTTCGATAAAATCCTCAATTAAACACAGTATACAAATTAGCAAAATGATTATTTCAATCAAGAAATATTTGCTCAAAGAACAAGTAAATGTCTGATTAAGCATTTCAACAATTTCAACTTTCATATTTGGTGCTATAGTCAGATATCTTGAGTACTTAGATTGGCTATATACTAATTTTCTGGTTCCGGTCTGGTCTGGGATTCTGGTCATTGGTCTTGTTTTTAAATAACCACTGACTCTGATGTGGCCATTTTGAACTTCCTTGAAGTGCAGTGTTATTTTGCCCATAGTGTAAATGTTTTTGCTTTGTAGTGAGTTACAAGAGTGCAATTAACACTGAGCTCTTGCCACTGACAGCCTGCAAACAGCTCATCCTCTTCATCGGAAATCTGTAGAAAGAGTGGCCTAATCCTGTGACAAGTCATTCCTAATGGACATGTAAACTCTCAGAGAGGGGTAATAAATAGATATGAAAGGCCATTGTCAGTTCCGCTACAGTTGGTCAGAATGAATAGAAAGGTCTAAACCCAAGGCTACATACTGTATCTGGAGAATGTGTTGTATTGATTTTAGCGGTAGAAAGTAATGTGGGCTGTGTGTTAGTGGAAGTGAGGTATGAAAATCCATCAGAACTGATTTCACTGTCCGTTTTTCTCCTACACAGTTGTAGCACTTCACTGGGGCTGTTTACTGAGAATTGAATAACAGGGTGAGTGAAAGAGCTTCAAGTCTAATCTGTATGTCTCTCTTCCCTCCATTTTCCTCCATTTCTTCCCCCCGCTGTTCTACACCTCTCTTTCCCACATCTCTACAATCTCCCTACTCCTTGTCTTTCCTCTCCCTCCTTTTAGAGAGCGCATGAAGCTGCCCTTCATGAACGACCAGTGCGAGCAGATGCTGAAGATCTGTAATGAGTTTGTCAGACTGCAGGTGTCCTATGATGAGTACCTGTGCATGAAGGTCCTGTTACTGCTCAGTACAGGTAAAGAAACACACGTGGTTTTGTAAAATCACAGCAGTGTTTTTCCGACTTCAGGAACTGCATTTATTCTGGGAAGAGATCTCAAAATCACTTTTCCATTGTATCTACTATGTTGCACTGCCGCAGCCTTTTCATTGCAATGTGAGGGAGGCTCAGTTTGTCACAGTAGGGTAGTATGGTTGAGTGGAATGGGGACAAACTGCATTATAAATACAAATTGCTAATCATAGTTCAGCAGTAGTGATGAGAATGTATGAGTGGGAGTAAGTCACACATGACCAAGTCTCAAGCTAAGTCTCAAGTTACTGTGATGAAAATCAAGTCAAGCAAGTCACAAGTCAAGGCATATGAAATGACTAGGAATTCAGTTTATGTTGAAACAGTTTAAGATAGGCAGCAATTTAACTGTATTATCATTTTGGAAGATGTAGTGAGTGTTTCTGTTCTCTATTCTAACTGTATTTAACTATACACAAAGGTGTTTCTATTATTTAGCCTACTATTAGATTCTAGAAATGGGGTAGAAAGTAGTAGAGCAATAGAAACACTTGTCAGTAACGTTAACATAAAGTTCCAACAGCACCAAACTACAGCAAAACAAAATGAGCATAGAGTTGAATCAGTAGCTCTCTAAAATAGTTTAAACAACAACAATACTGAATATTGTAACATTAATGAAGGTAAAATTTTTACAGGGCTTGTGTATTAGACTGCATTCGTTTTAGCTGTGTTCTTAATAATTTTGCAACAGGGTGTAGCTTAAACTTAACACTAGCTTTCCAGCTAACGTTTGACCAGCCAGTTAGCTCAAAAGACAGTCACGTAACTAACCTTTCTTTATGGGTTCTGTATTGATGGATGATTGTGTCAGTGATTTTTGAGCTGCAGACAATCCAAACCGGTATTGTTACACGTAAGGTTTTTTTTCTACGCAGCTGGTTCTGGAAAGCCGGATTGCTATGTGAAAGAGAGATCTTAAAATATGGTTGAATCAGAACTTTCTCTGTCTGAATGAAAGTAAGACTGAGGTTGTTGTGTTCAGTCGACCTGGGGATTTAAGTGCTTGTATAGATGTTCTTGGTACTTTAGGAACATATAGTCGTCCATTTACCAAGAATCTAGGTGTGATCTTTGACAGTGCTTTTAAGTTTGAAAAACAGATTAGTTCTGTAAAAGCCAGTTTCTTTCAGCTGAGACTGTTGGCCAAAGTCAAGCCCTACCTACCACGCAAAGACTTTGAAAGAGTAATACATGCATTTATAACGTCTCATCTGGACTACTGTAACTCTTTGTATGTTGGAGTGGATCAGTCATCTCTTCATCGGTTACAGTTAGTCCAGAATGCAGCAGCCCGACTTCTAACAGGAACTAAAAAGCGTGAGCACATTACCCCTGTTTTAGCCTCGCTCCACTGGCTTCCTGTCCGCTTTAGGATTGATTTTAAGATTTTATTGCTTGTTTTTAAAATTTTAAATGGCTTGGCACCTTCTTATTTATCAGAACTTTTACATGTACACACTCCGGTCAAAGCACTGAGGTCATCCAATCAGATGCTCCTCGATGTCCCCAGATTCAGGTTAAAAACTAAAGGTGGCCGAGCCTTCTCAGTAGCTGCTCCTAATCTTTGGAATACTTTACCTGTTCAAATAAGAAATGCCCAAACTCCTGACACTTTCAAATCCTTGCTAAAGACCTATCTTTATTCATTGGCCTTCAAACAGAGTTGAGTAGTGACATTTATTTTATTTTTTACTTTTTCTACTGTTGTCATGTATATTTGTTGTCTATTGTGGAAAGCACTTTGGTCAACTAGTGTTGTTTTTAAATGTGCTATATAAATAAACTTGAACTTGAAAGCACACATAGTTGCGGGATTATGCCACAAACGTTGCAATGAGCGAACTCAAGTATTTAATAAAAAAGTCGAGTCCTTTTTCAACTCATGGGTCTTAAGTCGAAGTCAAGTCTCAAGTCATTTATCTGTTTTAGTCTCCGAGCATCTGAAAACCAGGGAATAATTGGAGTTAGCATCAAAGTCAGTTTTTCCTTGAAAATGTCTGAAAACCATTTTACAGTGCGACACCATTGTTGTACCACTGCAAGTGGGGGTTCAAACATGCACCAAGTTTATCAAAAATAAATAAATAAATTCTCTACTTTGGTAAATGATAAAGCAAACAATAGCTTGCTTGTGAATAATCAGAGGATTTTGATCTACAATGCACAGGGCCACATATTTGAACTTGTGTGTATTTTAGCTTTGTGAGTGATGCAGTAAAACACTACAAACTTGTAATTAATTCCAAGTACTGTCTTAAAAAAAGAAAAATACAGTTAAAACACTTAAAATAGGACTGGTTTCAGTCCTGGTTGATTTGGCAACACCTTGATTTGGGAAGTGGGTTTTGAAACTACAGGTCCCAGAATTCTGTTCAAAGTCACTACTGATGGTAGCAAATTATATAAAAAGCATTGAATTCAAAAATGCAACAGATAAACAGCAAGTGGTGTGTCTGTTTACAGCACCTTTATGACGTGTTGGGGGTGCACATTCTTAGTGATCAGAATCAGTCTGTGCTAAACTCAGTGGGGCTTTCCTTTTCTTTAAATTAGAATTAGGAATGCACCTCTGCATGTTTTAAACACTTGTCTTGCATTAAGTATCGAGTCAGTTGTTTAGTTTGATGTTGTCTTCATCCGCACTTTTAAGCATCTAGTTCTTGAAAGAGAGTTCTTTCAAGACTCTTCTTCACAATCACACAGATCACATTTCTTTTCATAAGAGACAGAGATGTCAATACTAAAATAAAACTCCATATACCAGATTGCAGCACAAATTCTCACTCTCTTGCTGTTACTTTCAAATTATGTAACAAGACCAAGTCTGTTTTCTGCCAGTGATCTAAAGGCATTTTGTGAAAAGGTGGCTAACAACACCCACAGATTTGCTTCCAATGTTTTTTTGAAAATTATAAAAAGCATAGAGGTAAATGAGTACAATTTTCTGTTTCTCATCTCAGATGACCATCACAATCCCAAATTGCCTAAATAAAAGCACATAATGAAAAGCCTCATTGCAACAAACCCTTTTCCTCAGTTTTGATCATTTCAGTTTTGCTGAATGAAAATTGGATTCAGCACATTTGATGTCATAGTCCAAATTTATTCTAAATGCATTTTGGTTTGTTGGCAGTGATTTGCTTGAATTACTTTAAAATATACAAATTAGTGATGACATCCCTCACTTTCCTTTCTTTGTGAAGAAATAAAATAGAAAAACCCTACACAGCATGAAATAAATATTACTGAATCAAACTTTTTTCCAATTATGAAGATGTCCCTTTGCTTAGGAGGAGAGCATTCTTTTTTCCATCTCACTCTCTGGGAAAGGATTTCCTCGTTATGGAGAGGAGATTACATTTCCATACTGAGCCTTGGTTGCATTTTTGTACCTGAGGGTTATTTCCATGTGTTTATCACCTCAGGGATGGACATAACTATCAGGTCAGAACAACTGGTTTGAGCTGTTTTAATCATTTCTCATGCAGTGAAAATTTAAGTCACTTAAGGGATAATTTGATTTACTGTGTAAAGTACCTGTTAAGTTCAGAAAGTTTTACTGTCAGCAGAGTTAACATCTGTACTTCTACACTCTGCATTTTTAATAATTGTAAAATAATTATTGCGGGGTCATAGTAAGCTTTTTTTCTATAACACCCAAAGGTTGTATAGTAAATAATCCAGAGTAGAGAGAAGGAAAGGCCGTTTGTTTTTACTCTTGTAAAAACGGTCTCTCGGCCAAACCATAACATGCATAATGAAGAGGCCAGATAGCACTAGCACTGCAGTATCTCCCATTTATCTGATTATGTAAATCGGACACTATTTCACCCTGGTCCTGCCCTCTGTGGCTTTGCATAATCTCTAGGCCAGTTACTGTGGCTTTGCCTGGGCCCAGTGCCAGGCACCAGACTGACAGTCTGTGATGTGTTGACGTCGTTATGACAACTGCATATTGATGTTTTTCATCTGTTTGAGGTTTTTAACATTTCAGCAGCGACCAGCAAAGTCAAAATCCTCAATCCTTAGTGTGTGTTCTTTAAAATACGCTGTACATGTAGAGTTTATGATTTTTTTATGAGGTGTGTTGAAATGTTTACTGCCCCTTAGATTGTCATCCAGACCACATCAGTTAGGGAACACATTGCACGGTAGCTACTGATGTTACCTTTAGTTTTGCATATTTTCCACTGCCTAGAGCCTTCTGGTTAGGAGGTGCGTGCCGTGCTTCTGTGTGTGTTTAGCCAACGTCTCCTCGGGGCCCTTGTTGGGGTCCCACATCTAATGTAAGTTCTAATGAAGTTTTAAAGGCTTGTGCTGTTTTCTGCAACAGAGAACAGGATAAAGAACAAACTAAGACAAATAAAAACATTATTGATGGATTTTCAGTCTGAGACAGATGTTTAAATGTGCATAACCAGCTGTTTACATCAACAGCTGCCAAGATGGCAAATTAGACCGGTATTACATTGTAAAGTATTTAGAATCAGCACACCTACAACCTGCTTCATTTTTGTATTCTACTGAAGATACTAAGACTGCCCTCATTTCCTTCACTGTTATCTCCTCACCTACAGCAGAGACACATTACAGACATAATAAAAGGTTATATCCTCCACATACACAAGCAATGTCCAGGATTAACTCTTATCAAAGTTGTGTTCTTGGTCTAATGTGGATTTATTTAGAGCTCAAATGAACTCTGCGTCACTCATTAACAATGTTTTGTTTAAATTATTATTTTTTCACTTTTGTATTTTATTTTACCAGTCACAATCCTGCCATCGCCAGCTAACTTGCACACTACTGATGTGCCTGTCACTGTCTGTGTTTGTGCACGTGTGTAGTACCGAAAGATGGCCTGAAGAGCCAGGCGGTGTTTGACGAGATCAGGATGACATACATCAAGGAGCTGGGAAAAGCCATCGTCAAGAGAGAGGAGAACGCTAGTCAGAACTGGCAGCGCTTCTACCAGCTAACTAAGCTACTGGACTCCATGCAGGAGGTTGGAAACACACAGACACACACTGCTAATAATGCATGCTTTACATTTTTCCTCTTCTTTGTTCTATATAGGATTTGCAACATTGAAAACAGACATGTCTAGCATTTTACAAGTGTGTGTATGTTTTTTTTCCCACAACAGCCTGGCTTTTTCTTTCATATCTTTTTGTTCAAGTCCATCAATAACCTGTAGAGTTCCACTGAGTTCCCTGCACCATGCTGATTAGTGTAAAACCCTAAAGAATACACTCACAGATCCCACTAAGTGCATTATGTTTCAGGCGAATCTGGTAGAAGCACTCTAAATCTCGCTCTCTGTAAAGCCTCTTTATTGCAGAAGACCTACTGTATACCTGAGGCTAATTTAAAAATAATCTTGCAAATTGAAAAAACAAATAAAAGAAATTTTGCTAATCTGTCTATGTCTCTCCTCCCTGGATGTCTCCTCCAGATGGTTGAGGGTCTTCTCCAGATCTGTTTCTACACCTTTGTGAATAAAACCCTCAGCGTGGAATTCCCGGAGATGCTGGCGGAGATCATCACCAACCAGATACCAAAATTCAAAGATGGGAGCGTCAAGCCTCTGCTGTTTCATCAGAAATGACTGCCTTAAAACTGTGAAGCAATGCCTTAAATCCTGCCCTGCCCGTGTTCCTCTCTAAGCCCCCAAGCTTTGGCCCCGAGCCCTAAGCCTTTGCTTGTCCTGCCTCCCCCATCACTGATTCGACTCCTCGGTTTTCCCCTGCACCCTCTAGGAATTCTGCCACGTCCCTCCAAGGCCTCAGCCGTTCAGCTTAATCCCGGAGCACAATACCTGTGGTGTCACACCTCCTAATCTGCTCCAAGGTTTGGCCAAACTACGGTAGGACACCCTATCGCCAACCCTTAGCCCTTCCTCTTAACCAAGGAGAAAATGTCTCGTGGGCAGGATGCATTTTGCGTCTGTTTTTTTGTTTTTTTCCGAGCCCCCTCCTCCGTCCACAGCCTTGTCCTCAGGTCTCTAATGCTGTTTCTTTTGGTGGCAGCCTGCATCTTACTCTCTCCTGTCTGCCTCCAGTGTTTCGTTGCTGTTTTCACTGACAGGCCAACACCTAGAAACACCTTTCCTCCCTCAACATGACACCTAATATATTGTTCAACTCTCCGGATTAGCAACTTATTGAAGCGCTCCCCAAGTTCAAGCCTACTGCTCACCAGCCCAGCTTGTCTCCATTTGCCCTTCCCAGCTCCAATGCGCAGAGAATGTAGTGAGTGTTCGCTTGTTGTGGTTTCCAGAGGACTGGTGGCGATGAAGGGGATAAACAAAAACACAGAAAAATTAGAAACATACTCTGACATGAGAGAATCTTGTTTTTCTTGTGGACCCAAGGAGATTAAGGGTGAACTATTTTCCGCTGTGAATCAGTTGTCTTTTCTGAAATGTCGTAAATCAGATTTATATACCTGACCAATGGAAGAAGAAAAAAAAAACAGCTAAAGGAATATTCTTCATTTATTTTATGCAGACACGCATTTCTGACCATACATGCAAAAGTCACGCATACACACAAACATACAAAGTATATGATGACACACATTCACTCAGCAAAATGTTTACACAGGATGTACTGAGAAGGGAAAACCAGTGCCTTTTAGCTTTTACAGCTCTTCATAGCCATTCTCTAGAAACTGTTGTTTTTTTTTGCATAACAATATAACCTTGACATCCTTTGATTGACTGCTTTATTCATGCTGGCAATTCCTGTTTTCTTTCCAAACTTCCATTTGGCTGTTTCTAATTTGGGCAGCTCTCTCCATTCTGATCCCCAGACATGCACGTAAGAAACATATGGTATAGATGAGAAATGTGTGGAGCAGTGTGAAATAATAAGATCTTAATTTTGAGGGTAAAAAAAAGTACAAGAAAAGAAACAAAAATTTTGTTTGTTGTTTCACATGTAAAGTATATCTGATGAATATGCTGCATCGCCCCCAATCAGTCGAATACTCATCCAAATACTTTCCCTCTAACAAGTTTGTGAAAAGCGGGAAACCGACTTTGTGCTAAATGGACACCACTGGAATTAAAATAGGGCGTATCTGCTGTGGGGTTTTTTATATTTAGCCGTAGATTGACTGATTTAAATATTAGGGTTTAGGTGTTGGAATAATCAGTGAGTTGTTAATTAGAACAAATATTCTATGCATCTTTTATTCAGATGCAATCACACAAATGGGGGTTTTAGAACTTAATAGCCTTTCAAAAAACAGGTGTAAAGCCATAACCATTCAAGCAAAAAACTGTCTTGAAGTCAAAAACATCCATTCATTGCCAGCTGCATTCATACTGAGGTTCTAGTTTAGTACATGGCTTCATGCAACTTTATTTTTTACATGTGGTTTCATGGAGCTCCTCTTGGAGTGACTAGCCAGACTGCCTGTTCCCACTTCAGAAATCACAGCAATGTCAATTAGGAGTGGAACTAACTTCTGATGTGTGTTGTAACCAAACAATAGTACTAGACTGGTTGGATTTTCTAAGATAAGGTACAATTAACACAGTAAGTGCTAGACATTTCTCAAACCTATAAACACAATACTTTTTTGTTTACTGATTCCATCTTAATTTTACAGACATATTTTCCAACAATTATCATCACCATGTAGTACTCCTGATAGGTAAACAAAAAGCATATTATTTGTGACAAAATTGACAAAAAAAAAATACCATTTTAGATTAAATATACCCTTTAATCAGCTTTGTCTTAAAGTGTTTGCACAAACAGGAACTGGTGTTGAGCTCATCATGGGCTGAAAATGTTTGTTTTGTACATGACATGTGAAAATAGAGACACGTGTATATAGGATGGAGCCTCAGTTTTCTCAATAGGATTTCACCCGTAACATTGAAATATTTTTGGAAGGAGGTGCAGTTTTGTCCAAATAATTAGAGAATCAAAGCTCAGGCTATGAGTGACTACATCACTTGGATGTGTTCCACTAGTGCCAAATGTAATAGCAGGTTTTTACTGTATATGTCTTTTCCTGGAGATGTGAAGAAGGGTGATTATTCATTTGGCATTCCACATTATGTGGTTTTTGTAACTTTTGCTCGAGGGTGCTCATTTGTGAGAAAGATCATAGTGTCGTGTCACCCCTACACCAGCCTAAAAGCACTGATTGTTATCATCCAATTAAGTGTATGATACCTCTTTTTCCAGAGATGCACAAAATATTGTATTTTTAGAACTGCAAAGGAAGCAGTAATGCCTACTGCTGTCAAACAAGGTGGTGGTCAGCATTCGGTACACCTGTAATGTAAAAACATGTTCGTACCAGCTTATGTGACGGCCAAAGCAAAAATACATTGACAGCGCATTTGAACATTGGCTTCTGCTGGAAGCGCAAACACAATGCTCCCCCCTTTCAGCAGACATGGCTCTATTTTCCTCAGTGTTTCTTCACCTTTCTACTGCCAGGCCTCTCTGCCTATAATGTCAACCGTACAGATTTTCAGCTGTTCACTCTCAACGGTACTTTTCCCTCCCCAGCGCATTAACTCTGAATGGCAGTTAACAGACCAGGTAGCAGGTTGCCATAGAGACCGGTTATTTGTGTGTTGCTTACAGCTAACAGCCCGGCAGGATGCATACAAGCCACTATTCAATAAAAGGCATCATGCTTTTAATCAGCCATTCTGTCGAAGGGTGGGCGCTCACAGCGGGGTAATTTCATGTACAGTGTAGGCTTTCAGCTGCACCCGCTAACATGGGCTCGATGCCGCTCATTGACTAAACAGTCCATTTGTTTGGGTGACTTTTGCCTACAGTATTACATTTGTTTCCAGGTGGCGGTGCTTCAGAAAACCAGCTTTAACGTGTAGATGTAACCATATTCCTGCTAATTTCTAAATGGCCATAGGTGTATATAGCAGCGCCAACATAGCCAGTGCAATGTAAACAGTATCTATTATTACAAAATATTTTTACATGGACATAACATCTATACTCCTCGTACTACATTTTACCTTTCAACTTCATGTTTGACTAAAGGCCTTGCGAAAGGGAGACAGAGAGCCATAGAAATAAGATTTCAAATCAGGAAATAGATAAACCCTTAAAAAATATCAATGCTTTTGGAGATTAATCTATTATGTAAAAAAAAAAAAAAAAAAGACTATTTTCTGCGATTTTCAATACATCTGCAAGATCCTCTTTGATATGAATAACTTTATCCAATCCTTTTTGTACATTGAACGAGTCAAGAAAGTAAATATTTTTCTGTTTGTTGGTTTGTGTTTGATAAAAGGTAGACGTGTTGAATACATTAGCAAGTGTTAAACATGTTTGTCTCGTGAAGTAAATGTAAATTCTACACGTCAATGGGAAAGTCTACCTGAATGCTCACTGTGTTTTAAAGTTATAGGGAAGCGAGGGGGGAAAGGAGGGAGGAACGGGAGGTAAGAGAGACTGGAAGAGGTTTTTGCGTTGTAAAAGAGTGACCAAAGCAGAGAAGAAAAAAAATTAACAAACAGAAGTATTCAAGCAGTTACACTTTAAGTAGTACTTACTATCCAACTTCTAGTACTTATTATTTTATTTGAAAGGTATCTTTTTTTAAAATCAGGCTTTGGTTCCCATGTATATTGCTTTGAGGATTTACTGGTCACTTTAAAATAGAAAATGAGATATAAAAAAAGTTGAATCTCCATGTTAAAGTAAATCTACCAGAGCCTGACGCAATTGCACTACCCTCATACTGGTTGATAAAGTCTATTTTGTATAAAATACATGCAAATATTAAAATATTAATATTGTTTAAAGATAAAGGGCAGATCATGTTTCACTGGTACATATGGCGATGGCTTTCACTGAAGTCTGTTTTGTTCGTATTTCAGTTATGTAAATGTAATCCAATGTAAACACAAACAAAAAATATATAAAATGTTTGTTTAAAAAAAGAGTTTGTTTCACGCATTACACCTCTTCTGTAGTCAGTGTCGATATTTTCACCTATTTGATTAAATGTTGAATTAAGTTATCTGTGTTGTTCTTTGACATTGGATTTGGCATCGAGTTGATAACAACTTGGATGATGATTTTTGTCATCACTGGTTGAAAGTGGAAATTCAGAAAAACTGATTTATTTCAAACATCTTAGACAATAAAATTTCCTGTTTTTCAGCGCTCAGCTCCAGTGCTTTTCTTTTTTTCTCTCAGATCTCAGCTATTGAAAATGACCTGGAAATGTTGTACTTAAGTGTAAAATTGATCATTTAAAGGAATATTTGGACATTTTGGCTTATGCACTTCACTTATCCACTGAGAGGTAATTATCAATGCTTAGAATGAAGAATGGAAACAGGGGGAAACAGCTAGCCTGTCTTTGTCCAAAGTTAAAAATTACCAACACTTCTAAAGCTCAGTAAATAACAGATAACTGTGTGGATTTACAGAGGGATTACGGGCTGGGACTACTTCAGCTGTGTGCAGGGACTTCCAAGAGTCTTGTTGTCATCATGAGGTTGCCAGGCATCCTGTGGAGACGCTACAAGTGATGAGCAGATGAATAAACTGATGTTTGTCAATAGTTATAGTACACAGCTCCTTCTAAAATCCCACATTGCCGTATTTACATTTCTGTTTGTGTACAAATTTAAAAAGTGAGATATGTGTTAATTAGTGAGCTTCAGAGAGTTTGGCTTTGACCTCCTCATCTAACTTTAAGCATTCTTAGAGAAGTGTTAGAGAAAGAAGGGCCAGAGTGATGAAAAATGGTCTAAAATGCAACTTTTGATTTAATCTCAACTGCATTAACAGATTTTGGCACAATTACATCCAAAATGTGGATAAGTTTAAAATTGTGCAGTTTAACAACAAATGTACTAGAAGTTCTACTTGCATTGTGTTATATACAAGTGTTACTATCATTTATGTGATTCAGAAGTGCTGGCCCATGCTGCAAAAGAAATTCATTTGTGTGTCCTCGCAAAATTGCTTGTGCTGGAAGCTTGGTTTATTTGCGTGTCGTGCTATGTAAGCTTGGGAGCATAGGTCAGCACTGTGCAGACAGTTTACAATTGGTCAATGTCATGAATTTGTCCAGAATTTCACTGTAGATTCTGGAGTGACTTCTTTAACACTGCAGTCACATTAAAATGCAAAGGAAGCTCTGCAGCATGTGTAAATACAGCCACAGCATAAACATTCAGGCAAGGCACTAAATCTGAAAGGAAAATCAAAGAGCTCACTTGCAGCTGTTGAACATTTATCTTTAATTCTGCACAATTATGTCAATTCACCAAAATATCTGAAAGAATATTTAAGGCTGTAGATAAACTTAAATGATACAAAATCTGGGCAACAAAGATGGAATTAAGGAATTAAGTTAGTATGCTAAAAATACAAAATATAAAATTTCATACTTAAAAAATTATACCTTATCAAATGCTATATATTTACAATGTCGATAAAACACCTCAAAATGAATACAGTTCAGGATTACGCCTTTAAGAAAATCTCATAAATAAGAAGTTCAGATATGAACAAAGTAGTCTTATTTCACATTTAAGTTTTTTTTCCTCTCCCATTTGATTTTCTTTCAATGTTCTGTCCTAAAAGACAAAAATAAAGTTCAACAAAAAACAGAAAACTTAATACAGACGTTCACCAAGTGGTTCAAGGAAAAAGTTCAGCTTTACTCATGAAAACTAACTCAGAAAATTCATTGGAGCCCCAAAGACGACCAGCCCACATATACATATCTGAAAAATGTATGCTTTCTCTTTTCTTCAAATGTCTGCACTTCTCTGAAAACCACATCTTCAGACATGACAGCCTTGTCAGTAAACTCCGACTCAAATTGTAAATGTCTGTCCTTTTCAGTTAATTACATTATTAGGTCATGACATACATAATGCAGACAACTATGTGCTCACTCCATGTTGTCGAAGACTAGATCATCTAATGTAAAAACCAACGTTGGATGGAATCCACATGATGGTTTAAAACTAGGAGAAAAAGTTAAAATAAATGATCAATCATTTGCAGGTTTAAAAAGAACACCCTGATTAAAATAGAGCTTGACTCGACACTTTACATGACAGTGGATCCAACTATTTTCCAAAAGTCCCAAAAAAACAAATCTAAGCTAGAGAAGCACAGTGAGGCCCCACAGCTGGGTTTGTTTTACCCAGCAGGAATCAGTTGTCACTCCTACATGGCATTATAAACCGCTGATCTGCTCGTGGAGCTTGTTTGAAATTTTTCACATTTTTTGTGAGGGCTCTACAGGGAGAGGCATTATAAATAAGGATAAACCCAATGCTCACCTTTCGGCGAACTGTTTAGAAGGCGGCCTCATCTTGTGCTGATCTGCCCTGGGGCGCCTGTTGCCGAACTGGAGCTTTGAAACATAACCCAGGTTGAGTCTTGTCCTGGGGAATTACCCAGCCTCCATAGCGAATGCTGGCAAACACATTTTGAGCCATACAACAAAAAACAATCATTTAAATCCGCTTTAAAAGCTTCAGCCCCTTAACGGGGTTAGCAATTATTCAAACAGGGCACACTGAGGAGGTGAACTAGCAAGTCCAAAGTTAAAGGCCACTTGCTTTGTATGTGTTCTCTGTCATCATCTCAAATCATCTCTGCAGGAAGATGGTAAAAATAGGCGATGCTGAAGCTGCAGTTCAGATTCATAAAGCAAGGGGTGAAAAATCACAAGCCTCACTGCTCAGAATTATCAACCCCGCCTAACCCTCCCTCCCCTCCCACCCACTTTTCTCTCTCTCCCTCACACACACACACACACACACACACACACATACACACACTCCAGGTTCATTACCACATCATCTTCACCAAGACTTGGGAAGTCATCCACACTAATCCAATAACAGCCGGAAACCACAGTGGGATTTTTTTTTTCTCCAGTGCAATTCATGGGTCTCTCCATAGTCTGCTTCGTTACAGCGTCATATGCATTCGGCATGGATCTTCTTGGTCCAGTTTCAATTCCCAGTCTAGTCAAGACAACAGCGGCCTCATTAACAATGGCCCAGTCCTGTATAGTTTACGATCTAATTTTCTAACTTGTGCAGTCAAATCTAGTCCTCTACAGTCCAGTTTGGTCAACTCCGGTCCAATATTGTCCAGTTCGAGTCTTTTCCTCGACCCTGGACTATAAAAACTCCACGTAGTTTTCTGGTATCAGTCCTGTTCGTCCGTCCAGAGTCCCTTCCAGCCATCCAGGCTCCCTGGAGGAATGAACTAGAAAGAGAAAGAAACATTGATTTCGTTTAAACATCTGAAGATAAGGGGGGGAAATATCCATAAACGTGCATCACTTAAACATGTGACCTGAACACATGTACACAAGCCCATGTGTCAGATAGTGTGAGAGAAAAGAGTGAAGGGATGGGGGTTAAGAGACAAATGCAAATAACTGAGGACAGGGCAGTTAACAATTTCACATGTTCCTCATTATGTGAATGTTTCGTTTCTAAATATTTTGAGTGGAGATCAACAACAAATAGCAACATCACATACAAATAGCTGCTAATAAGTGAGCATGGAATATGTGCTTGGATTTGAGGTGTTAACTCCACACAGGGGTGTTTTCTACAGTGTCAACTATTTTTATCAACTATAGACGAAGGTGAGAACTAGCTGAACTATTAGAAATAATTTTGGTAAAAGGTGTAAAACCAAAACTGATTAGGGTTATGTTATTGAAACCATTAGTGTTAACAATTATCATAAGCAAAGTTTTGCTATCGAGGAGTCTACTGAATAAATTCCATCATACTAAAAACCTTAGGTAATCACATTCATTTCATTGGGCCTTGTCCCCTCAACACTTTTTTTTTATACAGTTGTGGTGCTACAATGGATGTTGTTTCAGTACTGGTCATCTTTGGCTGTTTATCATAAAGGCGCATGTATACCACCGTGTAGCCAGATAGTATTGCAGTGCCAAATGAACAGTAAAGGTTGTCAGGCCATGGACAGTAATCTAAATTAGTTTCTTAGGTTAAATGCACCTGATTTTAGAAGGAGATACGATTCCTTAAACTGGTGTTAATAGATTTTTTTTGCTCACTTGGGGGAAGAAGAAGAAGCTATAAACACAGCATTGAAATATTATGGCCTTATGAAGTCCATCCCTCTTCTTTTAGCTCTGTTTCGGTCTCTAACAACTCAGAAGGAGCATCTGGCTCATTGGCTGCTGAATGCTCTGCTATTTAGTTTAATAAAGTAATAAAGTATTTCTGATTCTGATTATTTCCACCAGCTAGTCTAGACTGACTTTGTCTGTCCATCTACTAAACAAGATGACCTCTGGCGAGATATGGCTAAAACACAGGAAGTTAAAAGGAACACTGCTGCAGAAGTAAATGGTGTGTTCACCACATATTGTCCTCACAGGGAATCTAACTCAAAAATGCTGCAGACCATGGTACCACACAGTTACATCAACGACAGATATCAAATGTGAACTGAACATGACACTGCACAATGTTTTCATCTGTCTTTTTTTTTATTTTGAGGAATCAGTAGATTTAAATAATTGGTACTATTCTATGTAACAGCTAAGATTAACACATTCATACATTGTATTGTAACAGAATTCTAATGATTCTGAAGCTGCAGTATGAGCTCCGTGGGGACAGCTGGGATGCTCCGTCCCTAGCTAGCCATGATCAGATCGGGGTGTTGAGATACCACTGTAGGGATTACATGTCCCCAAGGTCACATTTTGAACCCAAGGGCTCCGGTGACACCTCTGCCTTACATAACCTGCAATAGTCTTAACGCAGCTAACTCTATTTAGGATATGGGAGTCTGAGAGACCATGTGTCAACTGGCATTACCAAAAAAAGTGAATCCCTATCAATCTTGAGTGTCCCTGCTAAATTTCCCAACAGAGAATTACAACGTACCGTGAGGACTTTTGAGTTATCCTTCCTGATAATGAGTGAAGCGGCAAGTACTGTGTAAATAGTTTTATAGTCTTTAAATCTGTGCAAATCTGGTCTTCAATAGAAGCCAAAACCAAACAAAAAACAAGGGGGGTAATTGTGATTCAGCGTTTTTGGAGCTTGAGGTTGGAGAGGCTGAAATTAGGGGAGAGAAAGAGAACAGAGAGGAGGCAATAAGGAAAAAATTAAAGGAAGCCACTGAAAAATAGAAGCTATCTTTTCAAGAGTTTTGTGTGTCATTTTTTGTGTGCGTGTGTAGGGTTACTTTCATATATATATTATATATATATATACGTGCTTTTTTGCCCAAAACTAAGCAAATGATTCCTCAGATCTGAAAGATATTAAGTGCTTGGCTTTGGGCAAAAGCAATGCATTGCACTTGTCTGCATCTGTTACACTCTAGTCTGCTTGCCAGCTTCTAATATTCTCTGGAGAAGTTTGCAATAAGAGCAAGTGCACATCCAAGTCCAGGTACTGGACACATTTAGGCTCAGAGTAATTTACTGCAAGGTGTCAGCTATAAAGCTTCTTCGTACAACTCCACCTTCCGCTTTCCTCCAACAGGAACGCCTCACCTTGCTTAAGGAAAAACTTTGTTGACGAATGAAAAGAAACCATTTAATGTTAATTAGAAAAAATTGATGGCAGTCAAAATATATGGTATTCACTAAAAATGGTGTTAAAAGCCTTCCAGTTATAATTTATTGGGCAAAATCCCACGACTGCTTGGATGAATTTAAACACATTTTCAACACCAATGATAAAATCCAACACCCAAGCTAAATCAAGTCCAGCAAACTCCCAAGGCTGACTTTTTGTTTTGACAGTAATTGTTTGTTTCTATACAAACACCGACACACACTCTTTCCTTTTTCCTTTCTGCTGGCAAGTCCAGAGCTTGACTCACCATTCTCAAAGATGGTCCCAGCGATGAAGGACAGCTCGGAGTCATGCTCTGCCTTGCAGGCATACAGCGCTCGAGCCTTCCTGCCTGCAATACTGGAGACAACAAGAGAGTGAGAGTGAGAGAGTAGGATTCAGACAGCTTTCATTTTGAAACAATGCTTAATTTAGACACCTCAAATTTAGACCTAAAGTAACACGTTACACAAACCACAGACAGGTTATTACTTTATACTTACTGCTATATAAGTAACAACTGGCTGTATTCACTAGTCAAACTTGATGATGTTGGATTTTTATATAGGTCTCCACATTTGCCTTTTTATTGGACATATAATGGCCATATATTCCAAACTTATACAGAATCAGGTTCTCCCGCAGAATCAGCTAACTGCCACGCAGAGGGTAGTAGTTGAAGGAAAGGCTGGGGTTTTGAGGGTGCTGCTGCAGTGGCAACCAGGACATTTGAAGCTTGAAATGTGAAGTACTGTAATGTATTGACAAATGCTGTATGTGTGCATGCAAAAGGTTGAGTTGATTAACTGCTTCTGATCAAGGTACATTTCTATTCCAATTTTAACCCTAGAGGAGCAATTTAGCTTTTAAAATTCCTTCCTTTCACTGGAAAGGTCTGAGGTCATAGTCAAGTGCTTTTCTTATGGACCCTGAAGTAAGGAAGACTACTGCAGCTGTAGCGGTTAAAGACCTTTTTCTTGAATATACTATTACAATTGCTTCATAAATTCAAAATAAACTGGCAACAGTCGAGACATCTGGCATGATGAATTTTGAAGAGTTGCTTGAGAAAGTAATAACATATTGATAACTACAATCAAGAATTTGCTGAATAGTAATTGATGAGTGCTTAAATACAATTTCTATGCACTCCAATACCTCTATTTACACACTAGTATGGCTAACAAAGGCTTTCCCAGCACAAGTCTGGTCTTCTAATGCTTCACTGTGATTAAATCATCACACAAACAATGTGGACAAACCTGACAGGAGAGGAGTCACTGGAGGCGGAGGACGCCGGCTGCGGACTTGATGGGGCTGAGAACATCGGCCAGGAGGGAGAACGTGGTGAGGTGGGGCTGGGAGACTTTGCACTGATGGACACATACCCACAAAAAGTTTTAATTCATAGCATTCACAGTATTATACCACAAAGAAAAATTATTTAAATATGCATTCAGTTCTGGAAATTATCAGCCGTGACCAATGTGTTCTTAAATAGACGCATTTTTCTTACCTGGTTGGTATGCTGCCACGACTCTTTGGGTTCAGCCTGGAAACACAAGATGAAATAAAAAGCAAGATAAGTAATCCATCCTAATCAATGAGCCACAAGGTCAAGTACTACAAATGTTTCTGGACTTGTGAAAATAAAGAAAAGTTATTTCACCTAGCTTGATATTAATTTAAACATTATGCTTAGAGAGATTATGTTACTGATAGGTTTTCTCTTCTCGATTGTTATCTCACTGAGGTGTACTTGCATTACATTTCCAACACACAAGGAATTATTCCGCAGAGTGGACCTTGCTTGAAAACATTTTTAAATAAAACCCAAATTATTTAGCTGCAAGGAGAAACTAATTCTTTAACAGGTCTCAGTGGGTGTCGCTTAATGTGATCCAGCCCTGACGAAAATAACAATCTTAGGAGAAGGCTAATAGCCATGATGAACAAAATGGGAGATTCTGGTGTGCTTCCAAAGTCAAAACAAATGAAGGATTTAGTGGTCTTCATTGTGGATAAACTTTGCCTCAACACAATTCTAGGTACCTAGTCAATATATGAACTATATTCTGCATTTTACAGTCTGTAGACAGAGGTGACAGGCATGTAACATCATATAGTTACAGACTAAATTAATATTTAGATTTAGATACTGTATTATACTCTTTTCAAGCTAATGGAAGAGTATGGATCCACATTCAAGCCACAGTTTCGCTCTCAGAAATGACATGCAGGTCGCTATACATCACAGGCTGCTCATGAGGATGAACAATGGTTGAGAATGAGAGATGGTGAAAGGCACAGATTGAGGCATGAGGAAACAGCAAGTCGCAACTAAGCAAGAAAGCAAAAAGAATATATTCACAGTCAATCAAATTATGTAAACGGCAAGACCAGGTTTTGCAAGCTTTGAGATAATTGTTAAGTGATTAACAAACATTGCAGAAAAATCTGTCCAAAGCAAGGCCAGGAGAGTCACAAATAAACCAAACGCCCCCACTGACAAAACTTATCCAGGCTGTTGTGCATCATGACTGATGATGTGTTTCAGGCTCTGAGAGCCTGCTCCCCCTGTTTCTCCATCATTCATCCACTATTCTTTATGCTCTGGCCTGTATGAACTCAAATCATATTGAGGTTCAGCAAGGTTTCACTTAATGTTCAGTATATAGTACATCTACAGAGGAAGCCATTTGATACTAACATTGACTTAACTTATGGGAGACAATTACCCAGAGATTTTCGATAAGAAATCTTGTCTGCGGACCCACCTGTTCATATACTGAACAGCAAAGACAATTTCTCTCCATCATCTAAAGGCTTCAAAACTGCTTCTTCTGCCATTTTTCCCTGATTCAAGAGGATTTGAGATATCAACACAGTTTTACCTTTTAATTGATCTAACTTAATCAATCCATTGAGTATAAAATACACTCAATGGCATGGCATGATTTTGTTGCAAGAATTGAGTTAAATGGTACAAGTTAATAGTGCTGAAGTTCAATTGTATTCACAGAGGGGTTTATGCAAGTGAAAAAAACGGTCTCCAAGAGCAGAGCACAGCTACATAACCACAGCTCACTGCTAGATAGATTTTGATGATAGCCAAAGTCTTAGTTTCAAATGAACTGATTAACTTAAAACACTTCTATACCCACATGGCCCACATGGAAAGAACCTATATGAGGATATATGCGCATATATGAAACCTATATGCAGTTTATATGCACATATATGCTGCATATATACACATATATGATAATATATATGCTGCATATATGCGTATATATGCAGCATATAGGCAAAACTGAGGTGCATATACAGGCCATATAGGTCTCTGGTATTGCTTCTTTATATCCACATATAAGCCCTATATGTGGATGCAAGATATGTCTCCTATATAGCTCATGACAGGATCTGGTCATTTTGTAGCTTATATCTCACTTTGGCAACTGTCATACATGATGCCTAGCTCATATTTTCTATTATCAAGGCAATAACTAAGAACTTAAAGAAAATTATGCAGGGACTTATGTATGTGCGAACACGTGAAATTGGTATCACATGTAACTGGCATGTTATGGAATTTAACAATTAAGTGAGAGGAGATGGAAAGCTATGATGTCTACATGTTTTCCTGAAACATTTACAAGGTCAATTCTTTCTTGTATAAAGATAGTGGAAAAGAAGGAAATGTATAACAAAATGGTTTGTTGTTTTTTTATTTCGTCAATCAAGCCTTTTTCCCCCCAATTTCAAGTCACTTCCAGATTCACATTACAGCTCATACACATCCACACATTCACCGTTACATCCACCAAATGCAATGCAAAATGCAATGTTTTCTGTAATGTCTTAATGCAGTTTCTAGATGAATTTGGCTGACAGGTCATTAGTCTAAATGTAGCAAAAAAAAACTAAAAAAAAACAAAAGTACATAGAACATACATTCAAGTAATCATCATCATCCCACATCTATCTGAGGATTTCACTGTGGTTAATGAATTTGAAGACAATGTCAACATTTCTGTTCAGTTTTTGTCTTATTTTTGTTCTTGTACTATTTGATTGTTCTTAAGTTAATAAATAATGTAAATTTCTACATTTTGGGCTATTATTTATGTTGCCTAGTAGCTATGGATTTTTATAATTTTGCTAATATATAGGTAAACATAGGTGCATATATGTGCACTGATATAGGTACATGTATGCACTGATATAGGTACACATATATGCATATATGTACATATAATAGGAAAACGGCCAATTTTATATATGTCACATATATTAAAAACCTATATCAAAACCTATATTAAAACATATATGTTTATATAGGTTCTTTCCATGTGGGGGGTGACGTTTCAAACTGTTTTAATCTTCCATTCTATATATCTATAATATCTATTTAAAATTTCAGGGAGATCCCAGTTGGTTGAGTTTTGAGTACATACATATATGATATGTCTATATTTCTGTTTGATGTAATGGTGCATCCAAGAAAAACCGAGTTTTGGTTTGGATATTTTAGCATACAGTTTCAATGAAGTGTTCAAACAAGCAGGTACAGAATGTGATATAATTCGATATTATTGGTGGGCTGTTATCGGAGTTAACGTGCTGCGTTAACGTGAGACTCTTATTGGGCGATTAAAAATAAAAATCGCCGTTAATCTATTCTCAAAGTTGGGTTGGGAGCTGGGTCTATAGGGGAGAGGCGGGACGATTGAAACGCGGGATGAATGAAACACAGCAATTTCTGATATGCCAAACTACCTCAGCACATACAGTCCACAGTACTTAACAGAACAGGGAAAAATCAGGTGGATACGTCACACTTTCACAGAGTTATATGAAAGAAGCTGTTTTCAATCACAGAAAGTAAATTCACTCAAGCAATCTTTTTTTTTGAATGACGATTGAGGTGTTTCATTCGTCCCGAAACGCAGCCATTCTACCTTATTTAGATACGGCGGGAGGGGGGCAGAGTCCATAGGTTGCAGACTGGACCACCAGGATGCTCACAGCCAAATAACAGGATCTTCACAGTAGACCAGGAAAACAGGCTGCAGATGTAGGCCTGCTACGCAAGCTATGATGACTTTCACCTTGATATTTTAGCGCAGATGTATACCTAGACGAATTGCACTGTAGGGGGCGAGAACGAGTCTTCGAACCTGTGTGTGTGCCTACTGTGAAATTACCACATCAAATGTGACGTGCTAACATGGATGCAGCTATGAAGCCGCGAGGTTTGCTTCAAGGAAAATTTATTTTTAAGAAGCTTCCCAATGGTTTTCACAAGCAGTTTTTGATGCATTTTGGAAACAGGAGATGAGCCCCTGGTCTAATGCGCCACCTGGCTTGATAAACCCGTTCTCAAAGACTTACTTTTAGTCATTATTTGGGTAGCACACATATTCTGATTGCCTTCGGTAGAATTCAAATGAGCCATTTTAATCTAGATTAATTCCAAGATTACAGTGAGATTAATCTAGATTTAAAAAATTAATCTATGCCCACCACTATTCGATATCTTTCTAAATATCAAAATATGTGGGTGGCTGTGGCTCAGGAGGCAGAAGGTCGGTGGTTCGACCCCCGGCTCCTCCAGTTTCCTCCAGTCTGCATGTTCTAGTGTTCTTGGGCAAGATACTGAACTCCAAATTGCTCATTGATGTGCCATCAGGTGAATGTGACATTTCGGAAGTCTAGAAAGACACTATTATAAGAACAGACCATTTACTATATGGTAAAATTTGGGGAGACTGAAGAGTCAAGCCTTTTTCTTTGTTCAATTGGTTAGTTAAGTAAAGCTAAACAGCTTAAACTGGAGCTGTAACAGGCCACCTGGTGAATGTAAGTGTAAAAAAAAACTGAGGTATTGTGCATACACAAGATTAGCAAAGGCAGAATATTACTCTATTCTACTTCCAGTGTCAGACATTTCACTCCCTATTCATTGTTTGTTATTTTAAAGCACAACCATGGCTTTTTTTCTCTTATAGACCACTCTGCACATAACTAATTTATAGCTGGGCTCCCTTTTTTTTTTAAATAGTTTTTGATGATGTGAAATGTAGTTGCCATAGTGATGCTGCTATATCCTAAGGCATACATATGGTCTATCTCTCTTTAGCAAACATATGAGCCACTTCAATAAAGACTGTTAACACTGTCACTCATTCAATAACAAAGAGGAGAAGGGATATGTGACATTCTTCATTCTTGACCTTGAAAACAACAATTGTCAAACATTTTCACAGCATGGTCCACTCAGTGGTTGTTTTGGAGATTTAGATTGTATCACACGAATGAAGGATGTTTGAGCTGACATATTGTGAATGTTGGTTTATTAACTGACTTTGTAAAATTAATCTCTTGGTTTGAAATTGAAGTGTACAATGTTTTGAACTGTTAAGCAAATGGAGCTCTGACTGATATCCAGACCAGATTGGAAACAGAACAGAAAATGAAATCATTTTTATTCAGTCATACACTGTGAAACTGACCTGTTTTTTGTAGTTGTTGTTTTTATTGTATTTTTTG